TTAACTTGGGAAAATAAGCAGGTATGGTGTGTGGAACTGTGAATCAAGTGGCTATAACATAAGAGTAAGATATTCATAACTTTTCATGTTAAACACGAAAAATACGCACAAGGCATGTAAACTGAGTAGGTACGAACAAAACAAGGCAAAACAAATCAGACTCCGGATCATTTTTGATTGCTTTAAAGTTGGGGACATCATGAGGTGTGGTAAAGGTCACAAGTTTCCCGAGGCCACACCCCATAGATGTACTTATATCATGACAAAAGCTTTAACATTAGCGAATACGCGGTGGTGCTAAAGGTGAAAGAGAAAATGCCCTGTCTCTGCAATCACCAAAATGATGAGTGTTTATTTTCATAAATCAGTAAGTGTCAAAAAACAAGATCTTGATACATCTCTTGAAAGACGCTTTCGACAATGGAATGTTTCTGATGTTGGGTATCTTAGACGCTATGAGGTTATTCCATAACAAAGGCCCCCTATAAAATAGTACAAATTGGCGGTAGTTAGTTAAACGGTAGTTAGGTGTTCTGGCACCTGAGCTCCCAGGGATGGATTCATTAAAATGTTTGACATTCCTGGCCGGTTGATTACTTTCATTTAAAGTAAACTTTGCAAGTGGTCGCGGGAGACGTTCAAACAGATAGTCATGCATGATGAGTAGGATTTGGTATTTGATTATGTCACACAGTTTGAGAAGCTTTAGGTCACGGAAAAGTGGTGACGTGTGGGACTGTGGACGAGCACACGCTAGTAAGCGTATGGCGCGTTTTTGAATGGTTATAAGAGGCTTCAAGTTAGTTTCATAATTCGAGCCCCAGATAACGGCACAGTAGGACAAATGTGGCAGGATTAGTGCGTTATATAGTAAGAGTAACAGAGTTTTATTCAGGTAATAATTAGCCCTATGTAGTATTCCAAGCATTCTACTGCAAAGTCCTGCAACCTTTGCTATGTGAGACTTAAACTTCAAATCATCATCGATCAAGAGACCAAGGTACTTTACAGTACTTGATTGTTTTAAAAGAGAGTTCATCACAGGTATTTGAAGTTCAGTAGCCCCATTTTCATTGTACATCTGGTAAATAGTTTTAGTTATAGACAGTGATAGCCTGTTGGCATGCAGCCAAGTACATATTTTGGGGAATGACTTTGAAATTTTAGTTTGTAGCTCGTGTAGAGTTGGGGCAGCATACAAAAGGGCTGTATCATCAGCAAATAAAAGGATTTTTGCCTCTTCACAAGCCTGGGAAAGGTCATTAATGTACAAAGTGAACAGTAGAGGGCCTAATATTGAGCCTTGTGGGACCCCGCAGGAAATAGGCTTCTCGTCTGAGACAATATCATTGTATTTAAGCCTATGAGAACGTTGACTGAGGTATGATTTTAAAAGATTATGCGCGATCCCTGTGATGCCGTATCTGGATAACTTTTTCATCAGGATTTCTACATTTACAGTATCAAAAGCACGGGCCAAATCCAAGTATATACAGGCTGCTTTGTTGCTGTCAGCTAAGTTAGCCGTCAAAAAGTCATGTAGAATAGCAGCCGGCATATAGGTGGAATGACCCGAGCGGAAGCCAAATTGGTGCTCATAGAGTACATTATTTTCACTAATAAATGAAATAAGCTGAGTATACATGATTGTTTCCAGGACTTTGGAAAAGGTAGGCAAGATCGAAATTGGCCTATAGTTTGAGAAAACTGTTCGAGCACCTGCTTTGAAAATAGGGGTTATCAACGCTTGTTTATTGTGTGTCTCACCGGGAGGTGCCGAGTGTCGGCAGACCGGCGCGTGGCTCGAGTGGCTCAGGTGTCTGTAGTTCTTGGTGATGTTGCGAGCATTGTCTGCTGTAGTAGGGAAAAGGCTGCATGTCATTGTTCCGTTGATGCACTCGACCTACAAAGAACGTAAAAACGGCATCGAGAGGGGATTTAAATCTGACTGCGATAAGTGACGTTTCAACTCTATCTCTCCCATCACATTACCGGGAAATGTGACTGGCGATGAGCAAACTCGTCGATGTTTTCCACTAAAAGCAACCATCTCGCACCAACACCTGTTCCGTTTCCGAATTCCGACACATAGTGACAAACATGTATTATTCGTTAGGTACGCATTTCTGCCCGTCACGGCAGCGGCGACCGTGACCGTGGCTATTGTGACTCGTAATTGTGGTTCGTGGTCGGGGTGGCGTGGCCACGACCGGTCGGCCCTGACGACGGGGCGGTGAGAGGCCCGTGGCACGTGCGACGACAACGGGTGGGAGGGAAGGGGCACCGCGGCCGGTGGGAGGAGCATTGTGGTGGGAGGGAGGGACGCGTGGAGCCATGGTGAGACTGTGCAATGTGCACCCGTATGGCGGCACCGTTTGGTAAATGTGGAAGTGTTAGGTGCGAGCTGGGGCAGCTTTCTATGAGAGAAATTTATGAAGCGAGGGAAATGAACATAGTAGCAGACGCGCCTCAAAGACCTAATAAACAAATTGAGCTGTGTTATCATCCCCCGTTGACCACGGTGTCGTCGACTGCTGCGGGTCGGAGCGGTGAGCTGCCGTGCCCACCTGCTGCGTTACCGGCCTGTTAGTACGGAGCCGTAAATCGTCCACAGACGGGTGGCGGTGAACTCGGGCGGAGCCTCGAATACAGCCCCCTCCCCCGCCCCGCATCACTGCCAGACAGTCTGCAGTGGTTCCACCGGCGGCTGAGGGACTGGACTGGCTCCCACTTGGGACCGCGGTACGAGCTGAGGCTCCTACATATGTGACGTTTTAAAATTCATATTGCGGCACGGACTAAGTGGAACTCGGGTGCCGTGATTATTTGTTCGAATGACATTCATGTTTGCGTGTGGGTTTGCAAGGCCACCTGGATTGTAATAATTGCACATAAAATGTGTGAAGTGGTCCGGATGGTGTTCATCACTCCCAGAGTTGGCAGGCATTCCCGTCCCGTCCACTGAAGTCGCTGCCTACCGACACAACTGCCTAGTGCCTTCGAAGTCTGGCCAGTGGGTACTGACAATGACAACTTCTGGCTGTCGGCGCAGAGCGACCAGTTTCAACCAGACCCGACCAGCCCAGACCAGACTCAACCTGACCTGACGAGACCCCGCTGAGTGTCGGACGCCGCGGGGTCCCGTCGGGCCGCCGCGGGGTTCCGTCGCCCGTCGCCAGCCCCGCGCCGCCCGCGGCAGGTCGTGTTACCTGGCTGCGCCGCCGGCTCCACGGCACTCGCCGTTCACCTGGCGGCGGCCCCAGCGGCGCCGGCCGACCTTTGGCCCCCGTCCGGTCGTCTTTATTAGGTACAGCACACGACTGCCGACCGGGCGGCGGGGAGGGCCGTCACACAGTTACACGGCCACAAGCGGACTCACCCGGTGGTGCTGTGGCTTGTTGGCCGTACCGACCTGCGCAACTTCGGTCTGGAAAATGCAGGGCTGGTGTTACAGAAAGGCTTGCGACCGTTATCCACCAAACATGCGCGGATGCCATGGGCAGAGGTTTGCTGGACCGAGCGAAGGCTCCCAAAGCGTTCATTTATTTGCAAACCCTGCTCCGGTTGGCTTCCCGGAGCGTCATCTGAGAGCCGCTGGTGTCCGGGCTGCAGCTCTGATCATCCAGCTGCGCCGGCCCCGGGACCGCCCGGTGTTCTGCCATTCACCGCGGGAGGCCGGGTCCGCCCTCACTGATGACATGGGCCGGTGCCCGGTTCGGTCACCATTAAAGGAACATTAGCGGGGTGGCTGTGTGGTGCCGCGGAGAGTTACCGCCGGGGTCGGGGACAGTTTGGAGCTCATCACAGCGTATCGTGGTGGGGGTCGGGGACACTTTGAACCCCATCACATCAGCAGTTCACGGTGGTAGCATGGGATAGTTTGGACCTCATCTCATCAGGGACTGTTCGTTTTTTCTCACAGACAATGACAATTTTTTCGCAATCGGCCCAAAATGGTGCTAAAAAACAAATAGCTATATCTATACATAGGAGTGTCTCTGTTATAATGTGTCAATGTGTCGATTCCAATGCTGTGATTATGACTTACAGAATAGTTTAGACAGAAGAACGATATAACATTTTAGTGCGAGATTAGAATTAACCTGTATTTCAAAAAAGTAAAACTGTATTTCGCGCAGGCTGGTCGTCTTCTATATTTTTTATCGATGTAAAGCCTATATCTTGTTTTTCCACTGACGAAGGCACTTTGTTGTCGAAACGTCTGGTCTTATTACATCGTTTTTGTACCTATTGTCATTGTCTGTGAGAAAAAACGAAATGTCTGACTCTTCTCATCAGGGACTCATGGCGGTAGTTGGGGACAGTTTGGAGCTCACCAAAATCAGGGGCTCACGGCGGTCGTTGGAAAGCTGTATCTCTTCCCTGCCCCGTCGCGGTCGACTCCGCTCCGAGACTTCACCTTTGTTTGAGTGCGGACCGGCGGCGGCGATGCTGGGGGACCACAAGAATAGCGCCGCCCGTAAACGGGGTCCGCGGCGGCCGGCTGGAACGGAGCCGAGCGGCCCGGTGTCGGCCCGGTGTCGGCCCGGTGTCGGCCGGTGTCGGCCGGTGTCGGCCACCGTCACAGCCAGCGGAGAGCGGTGGCTCGATCTCCCCGCCCTGTGCTACCGTCACTGCATGCCCGGCCACTCGGGGAGGCGCGGTCGGGGAGGCGGGGAGGCACGGACTGAAGATTGGATCACTTTGGGTGTAACTGAATGCGACGACGATGAATCTAAGGCTATACTGGAGATAATTACCGTTGAACTGGCGGTAATGAGCGACACTGCCCAGTGCCCACAGTGCGGCTGCGCGGCATCTTGTTTGACAGACTGACAGCAGGAACTGACTACACAAAGACAGACCACAGTCTCTTCAAACTAGCGGCCGGTCCGTGTATGACCGACTGTTGTGTGCGGGTGTCCCTCCCCACCTCACTGACACCCTCTGTTCCACCTGACGCCTCGTCTCCCTCCGTCTGACTGTCTGCCCTGTTCCAGCACGCCGCGGAAATCGAGAAGAAGCAGAACGAGAGCGAGCACAAAAAGCTGCTGGGAACAATAATCCAGTATAACAGCTGTATACAGGTGAGCGCGCCAGGCGGCCCATGTTTACACCACCGGGGAGCGGAGGCGAACGGAACACAGGGCGGGCCGGGGCTGTAAAATGGCACACAGTACAGACTGGATAGGATGGGGAAAGATTGGGTGGTATTTACTGTTTACGGGGATCGCTTTATGGAGATCAGGGAGAGAACTTACTTCCTACATCTTTGGTTAATGGTCTATGGAGGCAAGGGTGGAATCGTCTCACTGTATCGAAATTTTTCTCATGTAAATGAGATGAGCATGCGCTTTGTGAGCGTCGAAGGAATATAGTGTTACGAAGTTTTTCAGCCTACTAGGAGCAAACTGTATCAAGTGAAATGACTTGGAATGGGAGGTAGCTGAGCGAATAACTTCAAACGAGATCCGTTTTAAACGAGCAGAAACTTTAGTGGCTCATTAGAACGAGAAGGAAACTTGAGCTACTCTTTGGAATGGCGCACATAACAAAACCGCCTCATTAAAGCGAGAAATGTTGATAGGTCAAGGTAAAAATAATGATTTTAAATCAATGCATAAAAATGAAAACTATCAAAAATCAGATGAAAAACGCTTGCTATTCTGGCAGCAGTTAGAAAGGAGACCTTTTACCATGAAGAAGGCTCTTGGACCACCTTTTTTGTCAGACCGTTTCTCTCCTCAGCCTATCTGTATTAGACGTCCAGAAGGGAACGAACATCAGCACTGAATGGAAATTAGACTCTTATCACCCATGACTCGTGGAGTTTTACCCGAGACGAATGCATCTCCGGCGGCGCCCCGTGCGTCCTGCGGATCCCCTGTCAAAGAAATGTCAGCACCCATCCGTCCACCTGTCCATCTGTCTGCCCGTCCGTCGGTCAGTCCGTCCGTCGGTCCGTCGGTCGGTCGGTCGGTCGGTCGACCTCCCATGGTATTCTCATCCCGGGTCAATATCGCGCCAAACTGCCGCCGCTCGCCCGGTCAGTAATTCAGCCACGATCCAATTGGGCGCGCGCCGTGACAGACGACTCCCTGGCGCGTGCTCTGGGAGCTGATGGGTCCGGGCACGGGCTGGATCCAGGGTCCGAGTCCCAGACCGGGTCCGGCTGTCCCGACTCCTCACCGCGGTCACAGTATGAAACATGGCTGAGTGGCAGCTCATTTACTCCGGCCGACCTGGTGGAACATGGGTGGTCCAACGCCCACGATGGATCACTAAATGTCGGAGTACAATTACAGAAACCAATCGCACAAACTTCCCGACCCGTCAATCGCGTTATATTGACATGCTGACCGTGGGTCGCTCCGAATTTGCGATAACCTATGACTGCTATTAGCAGCTCACCACTAATCACCTACCTCTTCTGTCGGCAGTTGCTGCACCTCAAGTCCAACAAGTACCTCACGGTCAACAAACGTTTACCGGCGCTGTTGGAGAAGAACGCCACGCGCGTCTACCTGGACGCTGCCGGCAACGAGGGCTCGTGGTTCTACATCGCGCCGTTCTACAAGCTGCGCAAGGCCGGCGACCAGGTGGTGGTGGGTGACAAGGTGATCCTGGCGCCGATGGGCGCCGGCCAGACGAGCCAGGTGCTGCACGCGGCCGCCAACCACGACCTGCCCGACAACCCCGGCTGCAAGGAGGTGAGAAACTGTGCTATAGCCTGCCCGACAACCCCGGCTGCAAGGAGGTGAGAAACTGTGCTATAGCCTGCCCGACAACCCCGGCTGCAAGGAGGTGAGAAACTGTGCTATGATCTGCCCGACAACCCCGGCTGCAAGGAGGTGAGAAACTGTGCTATGATCTGCCCGACAACCTCGGCTGCAAGGAGGTGAGAAACTGTGCTATAGCCTGCCCGACAACCCCGGCTGCAAGGAGGTGAGAAACTGTGCTATGATGATCTGCCCGACAACCCCGGCTGCAAGGAGGTGAGAAACTGTGCTATAGCCTGCCCGACAACCCCGGCTGCAAGGAGGTGAGAGACGGTACCACGACCTGCCCGACAACCCCGGCTGCAAGGAGGTGAGAAACTGCTATAATCTGCCCGACAACCCCGGCTGCAAGGAGGTGAGAAACTGTGCTATAATCTGCCGGACAACCCCGGCTGCAAGGAGGTGAGAAACGGTACCATAGGCTGCCCGACAACCCCGGCTGCAAGGAGGTGAGAGACGGTACCACGACCTGCCAGACAACCCCGGCTGCAAGGAGGTGAGAAACGGTACCATAGGCTGCCCGACAACCCCGTCTGCAAGGAGGTGAGAGACGGTACCACGACCTGCCGGACAACCCCGGCTGCAAGGAGGTGAGAGACGGTACCATAGGCTGCTCGACCATCCCAGCTGCAAAGAGGTGAGAAAGCAGGGTTTCGGAGTCGTGGTAGTGCTCTTCCGACTCCGACTCCGACTCCGACTCCGGGCTCCTGACCGACTCCGACTCCGACTCCGACTCCGACTCCGACTCCGGGTCTGATACAAAGGGCAATAGTGGCTGCCAAATTCCGCGTGATATGACGCGCCATGTTAGGTCTATACTGGAAAGTCCTGGCTTTTCAACATTTTTAAAATAAATGCCTCTGGTCCATAGATACTCAACAATAGAACAAAACAATGACCAGGAACACCAAGCCACATGCTTCTGCTAAGTGCCCATTCATTGTAACCACCGTCTGTGCCGACGACGGCCTCGACGCAAGGGCGGAAACGCCTGCGGGTTTTGACGATGCAGGACGATTTTCTTCGATTGCCGCTGAAATGCTGCTTCAGTCTCAGCAGCTTTGGCATACCGTGGTCATAACTGAGAGAGAATATTTTCTAAGAAATTTCCGATCCGGAATGCACTTTTCCCTGCTCAACCGTTCGCCGGGAAACGCCGCATCGCGCTGCAACTCGCGCCTCGTTCAAGCCGCACCGGGCCCCCGCGCGCGGGCTCTCAGCGACAAGGCGCATCTTCGCCCGTATACCAAGCACTGAAAACGGTTTCAATGACATCTTTACACGACACCTAGCTGAGCGGTGAACGAGGGGTCATATCTGCGGTGATTGGTTGAAAGTCCAATAATCACAGCGCGCGTTAGACGACGTCCAAAAGAGGCGCCAGAACTTTCCGGACACCCTGTTCGCGCACCGGGAGATCGCTCCGGTTTCGTTCATGCGGTCACCATTTCTCCCACGTGGACGCAGCTGAATCTTTAGAGACCAGCGGCCGGCGGCCGGCTTGAAAACCCGCCGAGAAGCACGAGTGTGGCCGTATCATGGCCACGGGCATCGCCATCATGTCGGTCTGTGTTTGTGTTAGGCACTTTTTGGAGCGATAAAAGAAGAAAGTAAGTCTTTGACATTGGATAGTAGAAGTTATAACGCGAATACAAATTGCTTGCCTACTAGGTTATGACATGACTTGACATTTGTAAGATGCAACGCTAGCTTTTCAGAACAAAAACAAGATGTGTGAAAAATACCTTATTTGTGATCATCGGAAGCGAATTTTGCCGTGGGGCCACTGGTTAAAAACAACTGAAAAGTGATAGCACGGATTTTAGACTTCAGTTAACTTTCCGGAGTCGGAGTCGAGGCTCCCGGACCGACTCCGACTCCGACTCCGACTCCGACTCCTGGCTGCTTGCCACGACTCCGGGCGACTCCGACTCCGACTCCGACTCCGACTCCGAAACCCTGTGAGAAAGTATACTATAGCCTGCTCCACAACCGCGGCTGCAAGGAGGTGAGATATGTTCGCAATCCTGGCTGAAGGGGGTGAGGTGTACACGACCTGTCCAACAACGCCGGCTAACAAGGAGGTGAGAAACATTATCATGGGCTGCCCGACGACCTCGGCTGGAAGGAGGGGAGATAGAATAAAGAGTCTGTTGGAAAATCCCGGCTGCAAGGAGCTGAGCTATATTCCTAAACCTGGCTGCACGCTCGGCTACAATCCTAGTAGATGAGCAATGAATTTTGTATTCAAGGGCCGAACGACCTTTTTCAACTTTATATGAAATTGAGCCACATCACCGTAGTGTCACACAACTCTCACTCATCACCCGCCCCTCGCCAGGTGAACGTGCTGAACGCCAGCACCTGCTGGAAGATCTCGCTCTTCATGGAGCACAAGGAGAACCTGGACACGGTGCTGAAGGGCGGCGACGTGGTGCGGCTCTTTCACGCCGAACAGGAGAAGTTTCTCACCGTGGACGAGCACCACGGCCGGGAGGTGGTGTTCCTTCGAACCACCGGCCGCGCCACCACTACATCGGCCACCAGCAGCAAGGCGCTCTGGGAGGTGGAGGTAAGAGTCCGGCGGCAGGCAGATGGGGGGGGGGGGGGGTAGAGACCGTGACACCACCACCTCAGCCACCAGCAGCAAGGCGGGTCTGGGAGGTGGAGGTGAGATACCGGCGGCCCGGCGGACCGATGACGACGGGATGTGGGGACGGGGGTCAGTGGAAAGATAGCTGAGTAAATTTGGAAACTGCTTAGCGGCGTTCTGTATTAGGGTGCTTTTTGCCAAACATTATCCGTTGTTTAAAACTTTTGAAGTCAGCTATATGGAATGCATCAAAGGTATGGCGTGTCGCGTAGTCTACCGAATTCGGGCGGAACTGATTACTGAGAGTGATCTGACCTTTCGTGACCTGTCCTGCGCACCCGTCACCTCTCGTGACTCTGTGACTGTGACTGTGACTGTGACTGTGACTGTCGCCAGGTGTACAACGTGGACCGGTGTCGAGGCGGCGCCGGCCACTGGAACTCGCTGTTCCGCTACAAACACCTGGCCACCGGGCAGTACCTGGCGGCAGAGGTGGACAGCGACGACACGCCAGACGCCAACCGAGACAAACTCAGCGGCGGTACGTCCGCGAACGGGGCGCGGACCCTTCAGAGGTCGCAAAGGTGTCGCTGCGTGACGGTTGGTTCCTTGGGCAGCCATCCGTCCTCGAGGAGACACATTGTTGGAATAGTGGTTGTGCAGGTTAACGATTACCCCGGACCTGTAATCTTCCCACAGCCAAAGGCTCATCCTCTAGCCACAGAGTACAGGTCGTGCGAGATGCGTCGGCTTACCGACCCGTCTCACTCAGGGCTCATCCACTAACCACAGGGCACGGGCCGCGTGGGCTGTGCTAGTCCGGTGAGTAGTTTATAAGGCAGACAGCGCCCTGTGACTGGCGAAATGTGCATTGTCCGCCGTTTTCCCTCCCATATCGTTAGTCATGCAGTGGACCCGACTCTTTCATCTGTGAAAACACTTATCATGCCAATGATATCGCATCTTTATACACTTCACGATGCTTGTCGTCGTTTTGGTTTAATTTGTTTTCTTGCTTATCCAGCTATTTCTAATTTGTGTTCTACCTTATCTGTCGCACAATCGTATAAACGATCCTAGCAACGCTAGCGGCTCAATATTTCCATCAATTGAGCTGTTTCTGGTCGTAGGTTTGACGAAGAAGTATTGTCAACCAGTGTAATCCGCAGTTTTCGCTGTCTCACACATGACTCATCGTTTGTTTGCTTATTACAAAACAAAACTGCTTGGATGTAGAGGCTTGGTTTCCAGGTAAATTGCTTGTCCTATCAACTCCTCTTTCCTCAGGTAAACAGCTAGCAAAATAGTTTGTGAGCGATCGGCGCAACATCCTTGTGTTTTATTAAGCGTCCTATACGATGGTAAAAATATGTCGTATAGCGGCGAACCCAAGCAATTAGATCTTGCACGACTTCCCATCCAGATTTGTGTTGTTTATTGAAATGCTTTCTTACCTAGCATTATATTTCCATTCATTTATTTGTGTGCATTCATTTCCAATAATCCCATGCTTCCAGGTGGTCCTGTGTACCAGCTGGTGCCTATGCAGAGCTCTAACGACTTACAAACCATCTTCGAGTTGGACCCGACGGTGTACACGCGTCCCGAGTCGCACGTGCCGCGCTCGTCGTACGTGCGACTGCAGCACTTCACCACCAAGGCGTGGGTGCACTCCACCTGCATACCGATCGACAAGGAGAGCGAGAGGCCAGTCATGTCCAAGGTGAGGGGCGGGATAGAGAGGAGGTGGAGAGCAGGGCGTATTTTAACATGTTAACTGGGTCGGCAATTGCCGACCCAGTCACGGAGAATGCCGACCCAGTGACAGCCGTTTGCCGACCCAGTTGCCGCCCCCTCTAGGATGCAGCACGCACATGCAGGCTAGGTGCCGTCATTCATAGTGAGGCTGCTGCCCTCCGAAATGATAATGCCGCCTCTTAAAGTGAAGCAGCCGTCTATAGAAAGTGATGATCCCACAACTCAATGTGACAGTGCCGCCCCTAAATCTGTTAGTAGTCCCACTCAATGTAATGGTGCCGCCCTTCTAAGCATCTGTGGAGCCCCTCAATGTGATGATACCGCCCCTCAAGAAGATGATGCCGCCCCTTCCAGTATCGGTGGCGCCCCTCAATGTGATGGTGCCGCCCTCAAAGTGCCGGTGGCGCCCCTGAATGTGATGGTGCTGCCCGCCAACGAGTCGATGGCGCCCCTCAAAATGATGCTGCCGCCCCTTAAAGTGTTGGCGCCGCCCCTTATAGCGTCAGTGACGCCCTTCGAAGTGTCGGAGGAACCCACCAATATAATGGTGCCGCCCCTCTAGATATCCACATAGCCCCTCATTGTGATGGAGTCGGCCCTCAAGCAGATGATGCCGCCCCTGAATGTGATGGTGCTGCCCGCCAACGAGTTGGTGGCGCCCCTCAAAATGATGCTGCCGCCCCTTAAAGTGTTAGTGCCGCCCCTTATAGTGCCAGTGACGCTCTTCGAAGTGTCAGAGGAACCCACCAATATAATGGTGCCGCCCCTCTAGGTATCCACATAGCCCCTCATTGTGATGGAGCTGCCCCTCAAGCAGATAATGCCGCCCCTCAAGAAGATGATGCCGCCCCTTTCAGTATCGGTGGCGCCCCTCAATGTGATGGTGCCTCCCTCAAAGTGCCAGTGGCGCCCCTAAATGTGATGGTGTCTCCTGTCAACGAGTCGGTGGCACCCCTCAAAATGATGCTGCCGCCCCTAAAAGTGCTGGTGCCGCCCCTTACAGTGTCAGTGGCGCCCTTCAAAGTTTTGGAGGAACTCATCAATACAATGCTGCCGCCCTCTAACTTTCTGTAGCGCCCCTCCATATACATAATGGTGCCGCTTCTCAAACCATCCGTGGCGCCCCTCAAAGTGATGGTGCCGCCCCTTACAGTGTCGGTGGTGTCTCCTCAAAAGTCAAGGTGCCGCCTCTCAAAGAAATGCTGGTGTCCCTCGAAGTGTCGGAGGCGCTCCTCAATGTCATGTTGCCGCCCCTCAAACCTTCCGTAATGCCCCTCCACGTCATGGTGCCGCCCCCCAATGTGCTCACGGCGCCCATATGTGATAGTAACGCCGGTCAAAGTGCTCCTGGCAGTGTCGGTGGCGCCCCTTATAGTGTCGGTGGCGCCCCGAACAGTATCGGTGGTGGCCCTCAAAGTGATGATGTCACCCTCAAACAAACGGTGGCGCCCTTCGAAGTATCGGAGTCCCTAAATATCATACCTATTGCCGCCCATTAACCCTCGCACGACCAGCCCATTTCTCATAACACGAACGACCAAGGGGGGGGGGGGTTGTTACGACCCCCCCCTGGCGTTTCGAAACGGAAGGTCGTAGAGCTTAGCGGAAAAAACCAACGGATTGCTCTCAACGAGATCTCGCGATTGGTGGTATATTTTTTGGTCCTAGGTCAACATTTGACCTACTTTTGACCGGTCAAAGGTCAAATTTTCGGAAAAATAGACTGTTTTCAACTTTCCGCGGCGATTGCGGCAAAACAGTGGGAGATATCGACTTGAAACCTTCACTATCGTGTTCCTTGATCAATTCTCTATCGTTTGGTATGTATTTCGTTTCCCTAGCTCTAAAAATGGCGCGTTGGGAGCGCCGGAAGTCGGCAAGGTCACAGTCGGCGGCAGAAATTCGAAAAATCAAAATTTAAATTTTTGAAATCTGATTGTATTTTGGATTTGGGAGGTCCATTTGCTCCCTATAGAAGCTAATATTGCTGCATATTCCCATTGAGGTGACAAGAATTAGCAAAATAGTGGTTCGGGCGCTTTTCAAAAATAGTACCGGACGCTGTTCCTCTTGTGACGTCATAGCTCCGTGACCTGACCTGACCCGGTCAAATTTCTCATACCATATGATAGCCAATACTTGCCCCAACATGCATGGGAAGTTTCATCACGATCCATCAACCGATGTCCGTACCACCGGCAGGAAACCTCGGGCGTTGGCACTCAGTTTGTGAAAATCCGGCCGGAGGCTGTACCTCTTATGACGTCATAACTCCGTGACCTGACATGACCCGATCAATTTTTTTTCGGCAAAAGATGCGCAAAGGTTGCCCCAGAGGGTATTGAAAATTTCAGCCCGCTACGACAAGCCGTTTAACGTGCACTTCGAAAAAACCTCAGGGGGGGGGGTTGATACAACCCCCCCCTAGGCGTTCTAGGGTTAACGATCTGTAGCGCCCCTCCATATGATGGAGCCGCCCCTTAAAGTATCCGTGGCGGTCCTTAAAGTTACAGTGCCGCCCCTTACAATGTGGGTGGCGTCCTCAAAAAATAAAAGTGATGTTGCCCCCCCCCCCCGAGTAATGTTGGCGTCTCTTCTTTAACCCTCGCCCGCACATGGGGGGGGGGGGTGGTTGCCACCCCCCCCAGGTAGTCTTTCTGCTCTGCACTCAACATTTTTAGAGCTAGAAGGCTGATTTTTCGTATAGCTGCTCCTCTATCCTTTCTTGATGTCCACTAAAAATTTCAAGTTTCTGTGATTATTGGTTTCGGAGATATGACCTTGTTTTTCAGGTCATGTCATGACCCAAATGGCCAATTCTCAACATCTTGCGTTTGCCATGGGCCTTGTGAGCTTTTGACACCCTGATTTCGGCCTTTTTTGCCAGTCTTACCTCCCACCTATCATGGAACATGTTGTTCGACGATGTACAGGGGTCAAGGTCAGGGTCAAGGTCAACCTAGGTCATCTAAGATAATTGCGTTTTAGGCAAGCTGAATTTACTTCTTGTGAAGTTTTTTGACTGCATTTTTGGTAAAAGCTTCTCAGATCATGATTTCATGTAATATGGACCCAAAAACAATCGGTGCACACATCAGTATACACACAGACACACACAGACATACAAACAGTATAATTGACCTTGACCTAACTTGACCTGAAATGACCTGAGCAGCAAAGTTCTGGTCGGGTAGTGTGACAAAGAGGTTCTAGCTGGCTTGGCACCAGAAAACAGCATCGTCATCGGTATTTGATAAGCAGCGCACTTGATATCCAACGGTGACCCAAAACAGCAACATTTTTTTAGTTTGACCTGACCTGGAAGGTCAATGACTGACCTGAGAAGGTAAAACTGGGTATCATTGGATTCGTCGCTTCCCAAAGAATCTTTTTGGTCTTTACCGCTAAGCTCTATCTCCAACAGGAACGAAATGGCGCGGGGGGGGGGTGGCAACCCCCCCCCCCATGTGCGTTCTAGGATGGGAAAATGGCATGTGCGGGCGAGGGTTAAGTATCGGAGGCGCTCCTCATTGTCATTTTGCCCCACATCACTGCTCACATGGCGCCCTTCAATGTAATGGTGCCACCCCTCAACGCTCAAAGACATAATTGCGCTCCTCACAGTGTCGGTGGTGCCCCTCAAAGTGGTTTAAGTGCCCTAAAAAAAAAATTGGTGGCGCGCCTCAAAAATCAAAATGATGCTATCGTCCCTTAGCATATCTGCAGCGCCCCCAAAATGATAGTGCCTTCCCTTAACCGGCGCCGGGCTGAGTTTGTTTAAACCCCCCTCCCGACCCCTATAACTTGGCTACTTAGGCCACGTAGCGACACGCGGTAAGCGGTATTCGAAAGAGTGTCAAAAACTACTTGGGTTAGTTGGTTAACCGTGCTTTGGTTAGGTCAAGTCAAATGTCAAATATCAGGTGACCGGAGGTCATCAAAGGTGAAATGTGGGTGAAATGTTGTCTGTTTCAACATTTATTGACAACTGGCGCATAACGGGGAAGAATAGAACTACAGCACCGCGAAAAAGCGCATTCGATAGCTCTTCAACGTTCCTATGAAGTCCTCAGACTTGACCTAACATCAACGGCTTAACCTCCAGAGCACAACTTGTTTAATCCGTGCCGGGCCGGGGAGGGTTGGAGGGGACAGTGGACCCCCTCCGCCCCTCTACTGAGCTGTTTTAATGAAGAACCTTTTTACTGTAATAATTATTGACTCACGAAAGTTATGACATTGTTTTTTCAGTACTGTGCTCCTCTCGTCGAGATGCGTCGAATGAACTATAATTTGACATTCAAACGTCATTTGGGAAATTTGAGCTCAGGTCCAGGTCATGACCTGGCTGGTAAAAGTCATGTTGCATATCAGTCGATTTGTATCGTCAAACTGAAATCATCTATGTAAGGTGTTTTCATCGCTCAGGCATGTCGCATGTCTCTATCAGAAGTTATTGGAAAAAACTGCTGGAGGCCTACCATGACCTGACATGACCTCAAGGACATAACGAGGGGTCGTGGGTGGCAATTTTCCGATTAAGTGTGTCATTTTTAATTGTTTTCTGATTTTTAAATTCGTTAACTTTGACATTTGTCTACCTATAAAAAGAGGCACATGCCCTGATTTTCTCCCATTTCCTTATACCTAATGGAAGGGTCGCAAAATTGTCCTTGCATTTGGTCAGAGACATCGCAATTTCGAGACTTACATTTTAACCATCGCCGGCAGAGGAAGTGAACCGAGGTCAAAAAATATAATTGTGTTGCATTTTATTGATGCAACCCCCCTAAGGTTTTTCGCGAATAACTCGCGTAAAAAGCGGCCGATCGCAACGAAACTTTCAGTACCCTCGAATTGATCAAGTTTACACCTACCCTGCAAATTTTATGACCCTGACTTCAATGACCTTTGACCTGTGACATCTTTTCCATGACCATGTTTGGCCGAAATAAAGATTCGGCGTATGTCGGCTCGCATTAACCGCGCGTTTGCAAGCTTTTCGTGGTTTCAAACGTTCAAACATGTGATTTGATGTTGCTCCCATGCATTAGGGTGGGTTTCAAGGTCACCTGAAGGTCAGGTCAGGTCATTGACCTTTGATGACCTCGGTTCACTTTTTCGAGTTTTACATGTTTCTAAGCTAGTTTTTGGAGCTGAATTCGAATTTAGCAACTATTTAAACATTTACGAAGTAGTTTTGGTGCCTTCTTAACATGTTACGAAGCTGTCAGAGGCGGATGACAGGTACTACGAATACCCGGTACGACCCCTACCGGTTGACCTGACCTGACCTGACCTGACCTGACCTGACCCGACCTGGTCTAAACGCTTAACAACATCATTTGTGATCAAAACTAACACGATATTTGTGATCAGCACCCCGGAAAACCCCTTAGCAGCCACACTTTACGACTTTCAAACATGTCCCGATATTCCCGATTTTTGGGTCATTGACCTGACCTGGAAGGTCAACCGATGACCTAGGACCGTGAAATTGGGTATCATTGGCTTCCTCTCGTGACGGGCAACACGCTCGTTTTTTTTTCTGCGAAGCTCTAGCTCCATCAGGGGCCAAACGCGAGGGGGGGGGGGGGGTCGTGCCAACCAACCCCCCCTTGTGCCGTCGAAGGACCCAAAATGGCCTGTGCCGGCGAGGGTTATATATACAGTTACACACTGTTTGTCTTATCAATCGCTGAAGTTATAAAGGGATCGTTCAGTCGGTATATCTATGGTGAGCATTTGCCTGTTCCGTGGCTCAGTTGGTAGAGCACCGGACTCCCCGCATTGTCTTCGCTTGCGTTTTGTCCGTCGGCCGAGCCGGAGAGAAAGTTACCGAGTGAAGGTCATTCAAATTTCAAAAACTCAATGACAATGTCACTGGGGTCGCGAAAATGTTTGAGTAGGTAGGTATAACATTCATTAACCTGGGGGGGGGGGGGGGGGAGGGATGAACGTATCGTTGCAATACGCTGTTCATTACGCGAGTAACTAATAAATAAAAAATGTATGAGTTAATCCTTACTCCACCCGCTCTCCCTCTCCATAAAAAAGAGAGTTAATTGTGTTGCATTTTATTTATACCTATGCAGAAAAATAGAGGCGTCAAAGGATATGGCCGAATATCAGCGACCCTTGCTGTGTAAGCAATGGGGTATATGACAAGTGGGGGTAATGGCCCCGTCCAGCGCCCATAAAGTGGGCACACTCGTGCGACCTGCCGACCACTGTTCTAGATAGAGCCATAAAACGCCCGGAATCCCGGAAATCCCGGAAAAATAAACGTAATACCGCTGAGCTTAGGTTGAATCTGAAATCATTACTTAGGAAGAATTATAAAAGAACCGTCGAACGTGTCTTTTTTGGTCATTAAATATCAGTAGGTATGCCGCCCCCTCAGATGCCAAGTGCCGCCCCTATGAGTGCAAAATGCCGCCCCTAATTGTGATTGCCGACCCAGTGAAAATCCCTTAAAATACGCCCTGGTGGAGAGGTTGAGGAGGGGGAACAATGTGATGTTCAGAGGCATGGGATGAGCGGGTGGATGGGATCATCCTCGCCGAGGGAAGCGAGTGAATGATCGATATCAAGAGTCTGAATGGATTATAGTCTTTCAGTTCAGGACAACAGACGGACGATGATGAATAATGCAATGGGTATGGACGGAGAAGTGAATATGCTCTTGGGTTACGTGATGTGCCGATATTCGTAAAGCCCGTGAAAAGGACACTGTGCCGGTCTGGCGACTCAATCGGTTTACGAACGGACCGTATTCCTCCCGACAGGTCGGCCTGGCTGCTGTCAAGGAGGACAAGGAGGCGTTCGCGCTGGTACCCGTGTCCGCACAGGAGGTGCGCGACCTGGACTTTGCCAACGACGCCTGCAAGGTGCTGCAGGGCTTCAGCGAGAAACTGGAGACCGGGATGATCACCAACAACGAGCGGAAGTGAGTGGAACGGCCGCGTGATCGGATCAGATTGCTCTATAACAAGATGAAGGCGCCGAGACCGCCTCGACCCGTCATTACAGCTTGTTCGGCTCTCTCGATAGATGTCAGCCCATTGTTTGAAAATTGCCTCGTCATTGGGCTGTCAACGTGCTTTTCATGGTCGCATGATAGAGAAGCTTCAGTACAATTATCTTCGCATTAAGTTGCGTCGCTGATAATCGTGCATGGCATGACCTGTCAGAAGCAATCGATTCTAGTAAGTGCCGGTGACGACGCCTTGGACGGGGCATCTTATGTGTTTTTGACGTCTCTATACCTTCAAGCGTCTGACATCGTCTTCGTCTCCGTCAGGATGGTGATCCAGCTGCTGCAGGACATCATCTACTTTATCGCCATGCGGGAGACGGAGCAGAACCGTACCGACGCGCTGGACCTGGTGATCAGACACCCGAACAGGGACCGGCAGAAATTGCTCCGAGAACAGTCCATCATCGACTACATCTTCAAAATACTGAGGGTCAGTTGGTTGCATTTTGGTGAGCACGCTGTCGCTTCTTCTGGGGGTTATTCGAAATGGAAGACAAGTGTTGCAAGTATCATGCATGCCAATTAAGTGTCAACTCTGCTGTTAGTTTTTAGCTGTAAAGTATTCAATGTTCAAGGTGAGGTAGGTGAGTCGTTTTCTACATTTTGCATGCCGTGAGATATGCCGTTGTTTTCCCCTCCGACTGCTGATGGCCGGTGTTACTGCTGATATCCCGTGTGCTCGCGCCTCTCAGGTGCCGTCGTTCGGTGAGCAGCAGAACAGCGACGCGCCGTTCCTACGGCTGGACGAATTGAGCGACCCGCGCCATCTGCCCTACAAGAACATCTTCCGGCTCTGCTACCGGATACTGAGGCTCAGCCAGCAGGACTACCGCAAAAACCAGGTACGTGCGTAAATGCGACAAATCCGCCAACAGATTTACAGGGAAGCTGCTGTTGGGAGACGTCTATGTGTACTTGCATGACATGTATCAGAGCCAGAGCCCAGAGCCCATCTTCATAAGTCAGAAGTCTCCATGGCTCCATGGCGTAGGTCATCCCAGTATTGCGGCCTGTATCTGACCGGTCCAACCTCACCATCCACAGGAGCACATCGCCAAGCATTTCGGCTTCATGCAGAAGCAGATCGGGTGCGACATTCTGGCAGAGGACACCATCACGGCTCTGCTGCACAACAACAGGAAGCTGCTCGAGAAACACATCACCGCCAACGAGATCGAGACGTTCGTCGGTACGTTGATGGATCTTGCACTGGTGTCTTTAGCGGACTAAAATCACAGATCTTCAGTGACTCAATCATTGAAAAGGATGAGGAGTTCGTCCTCTGGGTAGCTCAGTTTGACTTGGTTTGTACTCATTGGCTACCGATGATTCGATTGATTATGTGCGCTCCACCTAGTTACAAGGCCTGGCGTGTCCCCGCGTTTGCGCACCCTGCGACAGGTCTGGTACGTAAGAACATGAACAAGTGGGAGCCGCGCTACCTGGACTACCTGTCTCACCTGTGCATCTCCAACAAGGTCGCCATCGCCGCCACCCAGGAGCTCATCTGCAAGTCGGTACTCAGCCCCAAGAACTCGGACATTCTCATACAGACACGGTAAGGTGCTGTTAGGTAAAGGCGGGTGGAGGCTGATTCAGTTGGACGATGCACAGTCGGATGTCTCAAAATCTTTTTGAAAATATTCCTCGCGTTTCGGCGCTCATCGCGCCGAAACGCGATGTTTTGTTTTCCAGGCCATGTTGATTTGTGATTCGACATTCAGTCGAGTTTTCCTTGAACTCACGACATTTTGACAGATCTTTGTTTGCCTTGTATTGTGCATAACGTTTCATGTGACGTCTCTGCCTCGCTTAATTTCAACCTCGACATTCTGTTTGTTCAACAGGTTGCAGCGTCAGCCGATGGAGGTGGAGGTGGTGGTGGAGAACGGTGACGACAGCTCCGAGCCCGTGCTCACCGTGGAGGAGGTGGAGGACGTCGAATTGGAGGGAGGGCACGGGCAGGTAACGTGGAGGGAGGGAGAAGGGACGGGTACCGGGACTCGAGGACACGGACAGGTAGCGGCCGGAGGCCGAGGGAATACGGAAGGTAATGGGAAGAAAATAACTGAACACTGGTAACGGTCGGGACCTGAGACAGGTTGTTTTCAAGGGCCCCAGATCCTGGCCACCTTTGCTATTGTTTGAGCGAAGCGCTCGATTCCGCCGTCTTGTATCTAAGTTATTCCACTTAGAACTTGTATCTCATCATGGCGTGCTTTCGGTTCACCGTCTATTTGATAACTAACCTTACAACCGGCCCGTCACCCAGTCTGACGGAGGTACCGCGCAGTGTGGCGGGTCCTCGTACCTAACTGACCCTCTGTTCGCCCTGCATGCAGTTCTGTCGTCTGATCTCTGAGCTGGCGGCCGGCGCGCGCAGCGGTAACAGCGAGGACCGGCACATCCTCGAGTACTACCGGCACCAGCTGGACCTGTTCTCCAACATGTGTCTGGACCGACAGTACCTGGCCATCAACAGCCTGTCGCCCCACCTCGGCATCGACCTCATACTCAGGTCAGACGCGGACCGCTCTCAGAATCGGGCCTGGACGCACTTTTTTGTTAAACAGCCGTATGGAAAGCATTGGGAATCAGGTCATATGATAGTCTAATTATTGTCACGTGACGGTGACATAAATTCGTTAAATGCATATCTATATTTGTCTCGGTCATCCGCCTGGCGCATACTTTGTAGCGTTTGTATGTCTGTCTGTCTGTCTGTCTGTCTCCGACAGGCGTACGTCAGACAAGACGCTGCCGTTCGAGCTACATGCTTCGTTCACGCGTCTGTATGTCTGTCTGTCTCCGACAGGTGTATGTCGGACGAGACGCTGCCGTTCGAGCTGCGCGCCTCGTTCACGCGGCTAATGTTGCACATGCACGCCGACCGCGATCCGCAGGAGCAGGTCACCACGGTCAAGTACGCGCGGCTCTGGTCTGAGATCCAGACCAGTATGACCATCAGCGAGTGAGTACTGACGACAGGACGGGGCGGGGAGGGGAGCCTTGTGATGGACAGCCACCGGATGGGGTGCTGGGAGAACAGCCAGAGCGGGCAGGGCACGGAGGAAGGTGTGATTGTGAGGGCAGGTGGAGCTAGTAGTTCGTACTGTGTCAGCCGATTGTAGATTATTTGTGAACGGTTGGTGTCACGACGGCGCCGAGTTGAAATACGAATTGTTGTTGACAATGTTTATTGTTTATTCGTGTGTTCTGGATTTTTTTGTTGTGTAGTTTGTATCGTACGTGTTGTATGTCAGCATTATTCAGTAGGTGTATATCAGTAATATCTGTCATGTATTCTGTTCAGTTTATGAACACACCGAACTCGGACGTTGAGGCTCTATTTAGCTCACACCTGGCCCGTCTCCAGCTGGATGTTCTTTATCACTCATACCGCACTGATAGTGGATCTTGTCCACCACTGCACTGGTTACAATGCTGTTAGGCAGATAGTACGTGCACGTAGTTCACACAGTACTACACACAGCACCGTACCCGTTCGCCGGCCTGCCCATTGTCCAGTGTCCAGTAGCACTTGGATAAGGTGCCATGTAGTCCGTTTGACCTATTGTTTTACTGCCCCTCCCCCACCTTGCTTTTTTACGACTCTTATCAGCAAAGATACGCCTACTGAACTCTTCAGTTTGATGACCCCGCCAAAACCAAAGCTGTTCTGGGTTCACGCGGACGTAACTCGATCGTCATCCTGCTCGTGTTCCTGACTGCTCTTCTTCTTTCCTCCGTCCGTCTGTCCGTAGTCCGTACACCTTTATCCGTCTGATGATGCCTTCGCTCTTTGACATTCCTGTTTCTAACAATCGTCTCAGCTCAGTTGTCTTTCTCCTCCTCGAGAAAAACGCACGCGAAATTTCGCTAAATCGATTTAGTCGTGTCATGGAAACGTAGTGAGTGTGATGCTTGGTAATGGATCCCTCCCCATGGTTCAGACTCCCGGTGTAGGGCCTTTCGGTGGAATAACGCACATCTCGCAAGAGCATGGATCTAATGAGTTCTCCCGGTCGTGTTTAACGAATCAGCACATGACTTCAAACAGACGCGGCACATCACTACGTCACGTTTATTACGTCACCCTTCTGATGTGTACTGGCCGGTGATAGGTAGCGAGGCAGGCGCACGACTGGTGTCTGTACAGACTGCCCGGGTTGTCGGAGAGCCGCTCCTTCCCTCTCCCTGGCTCCCTCCCTCTGCCTGCTCTCCCTCTCTGCCACACTCGTACACACACCGCTCGTCTCTGACTGGGGGATTTCTCCCCTGCTCTTTCTCTGTTCCTAGGCTCGTCTCTCACACACTCCTAACGGTCAGGGTAATGGTGCATGGTTTATTTCTGTAGACTACTCTGCGGTGTTTTATGTGCCGCCCCGCGGACCCTTGGCATGGCGAGTGTCGTGTACCCCCAGCCAGCCTCTGTGCCGTGCCTGCTAAGGTTTGCTGCGTTCATTCGAATTTGTGGACGTCAGTATTTCATGCTTGTTCCATTTCGCCTCGACATATCGCCCTCTGTAAGCTGTGCTTTTAGCCAAGCATGCTGTTTGACCTTCTGCCACATTGCCCTTTTCGTTGGCCAGCTTCACGTTCATTGGTCAAGCTAAATGGAAGCTTAATGAATAAGCCTTGATGTGTCTTCCTATCACAATCGCTGTGATTTGGTCACCAGTTGCTGAATGTTTTTGGGTCAATCTGCCGTCAGTGTCTCTAACGGATAAAGTTCAGCGGAGTTCTGAATCCCCCATGTAATTATACATTGTGCTGTTTGTGAAAGTGAGCGTGTTTGCTCGCCCTTGCGGCTCCCACTCGGTCTCAACCGTGCAGTGCCGGCGTTACCCCATCGTCCGCCCAGCGTTCCCCACATTGTGGGTTGTGTGGGTAGCCAACCGACCCGTGTACCGTGGCCCCATTGACCCAGAGGACGGGCCGAGACGGATACTCTGGTGGTGCCGCCAGCGTGAGCTCTTCCTACTAACCACGACCCAGTCCAGGGGCTGGGTGCTTCCTTCTGCGTGAACTGCGTGGATTTCAGCTCTAGTCTAGGGGAGTGTTTCGAAGTCTCACTAACACGTAGACCAGCAATCTGAAGATCTGTGTCGATCGTTTCATTTTCATACAAGTCAACTTTCCAATCATTTTCGAAGTTTTTACTTCATCTGATTTCTCGACCATTTGTCACGTTTTCTTTCTGTCGTCTTGGTCTAAACTCTCATATTTTTGTCGCCATCTCTCCTGTCAGCTCCACGTTCCTTTTCCGTCCACCACCCTCGTCACGTTCATTTCCCGCTATGGTTCTTGACACCCTTGTACCCGTGACTCCCTGTGGCATCCCCTGTGCCGCCCGTGCCGCCCGTGCCGCCCATGTGACGCCCCTGTGGTTCACGCGGCAGCTACGACAGCAGCCGGACGCCATCAGACAGCCGGGAGGAAGTGTGCGCCCGGTTCGGCTCCACCATGGACTTTGTCGAAAACTACCTCTGCAACGTGGTCAACCGCATGTGGAGCTTCTCCGACCCGGAGCAGAACAAACTCACCTTCGAGGTAAGGACCTGAAGCAGAACTGCAAGCTCATGTTTGAGGTACGCGATGGCGGCAGCGTCAGAGGTCGCCTTGGCAGCCCGTAGTGGTGGCTTGAGAGCTTTGACGCGAACGACTTCTCTCGAAGTTTCTTGTACATCCGTCGAAGTTTTTGGTGATTTATTAGTTTGGTGTTTTACTGAGTGAGTTTGGTTTGTCCTAATATGTAATGTTACATGGTATTGAGTTGCCCAAACGCTGACTGAAAAGTGTCGCACCGTAAGTCCGAATGCTAACCTCCCACCGCGCTCCGTCTCCGCAGGTGGTTAAGCTGGCGATGAAGCTGATCTACTTCGGCTTCTACAGCTTCAGCGACCTCCTGCGGCTGACCAAGACGCTGCTGAGCATCCTGGACTGCAGCACGGAGAGCCTGCACGGCGGCGACTCTCCAAGCAGCGCCGAGATCAGCGGTGAGAGACACTGTTAACACACCCCTAGCTACCCCCTCTCTTGATCATGAGCTCCTGGGGGTCCTGCCATTATCACTATCATCAAGCAGTAGCAGTTCTGGTGTTGGATGCCCACTCAGCGCCCTCAATATCCATAAATTTCATCCGTTCCACACTCAGTATTTCTTCCAGCTGACTGCTGAGAAGATTAATAGTTGTTACTCTCGTGTTGTCCGATCCCTGCCCCCACGCTTTCCACCCTGTATACTGAGACAAATGATCGTGGACAGCCGTCGCCATTCGTATTAGTGGTGCTGTTTCCGAGCGATCGGGTCCGGCCGGTCGATCGCCGTTAGATATCTCCGGCACTAGCTGAACGATGCTCTTGTCTTTGTGGAAAATGCCTGTGCTGCTGATTCCTGGCGCTGATGGTGGTGATGTTGGTGCTAATACTGCTGGAAATGGCGGTGACGACACGTCTGGTGATTCTGTGATGGGTGGTTGTAACGGTGTCGGTGATGGTGAAGGTTTTGTTGCTGTTGATTGATGGTGGTGCTAGTGCCGGTCTAGCTCTGGCGTCCCCCCCCCCGTGTTGACGCTCCCTCCGCGGCGGTATCCCCGTCTCAGTATAACTGTCCTCCATCCGACCGTCGCCGGTCCCTGACCCCGCCCGCCCACCGTTCAACAGTGCCAGTGGACGACGAGAGTCTTAGCTTCGGCTTTGACGGGGGGTTCGACATGGACGACGGTGAGAGACCGCCACGGTGCATTCGTCAGCTCTGTCTGAGTTTCAGGAGCCCCTGTCTTCGCATGGCCAGAGTGGGCGAGACACTGAGCGAGGCATGACCGCCCCACCTCGAACCGGCATGTTGATGTCAAACTGATTGTTGTTGTGTGTAGTTACGATTGAAATGTTGCGTCACTGTTGTGTTTCTTCGTCGTTTGTGGCTACGCTCGTTGTTTGGAGGTGCTGCACGGTTATAGTTCGTCGCCGTTATTCAATTTTATTTGAGACTTAGAAACACTTAAACAATGCGCTCGCCGTCCACAATGTATGTATTTGGCTAGGTTACCCTAAGCTGTATGTTTGGCATTTCGCAGTTTAGTGCTTGCTCATTTATTGGCTTCTATTTAGTAGGTATTTAGTTCATCGCACCGCATTATTAGCGTTTAGACACAGTCTTCTTTTATTATATCAGTCTTTGAATCTTCCCTTCGCTGTCCGCACTGAATCCGCGTGATATTTTTTTTTCGAATCGGTGTCGTCTGTCGCATTTTGTGCATGTGTATTCTCACCAGCATGACTGTTGGTTTTTGTATTTTGCTAGAACAATTGCCAGACCGAGTCTCGGTGGCCATATAAAAGAAAAATCAACAGCTACCAGAAAGCTTAACAACTGCCGAAAAAAAAATTGCAGGTCAAAATGTTCAAAGCAGCATGCATAAAATTTGTAGCTTATTTATTTCCCATAGGCCAAGAGCGTAGGTCAGGAACTATCGAAGAACGACTTACCAAACGGCTAATCGAACATGGTTTTACCTGCCGTATGGCATCTTGCCAATCGTTGACTTTCACATTTGACACTGCGCGCCGCGCGGACATGTAAACCCAGCTCTTTGCCCACCCACCCCCGGCGCCCACCCCACCAAACCACCGAGCGACAGCCGACCCCCTACCCTGACGCTCCCTTCCCCGCCGACCGGCAGGCAAGAGCGGTGTGCTGAAGTCTCTGACGGACATGGGCCAGGTGATGACACAGCTGACACTGGGCAGTAACGCCGCGCGCAGCGGCAGCCTGAGAAAGGCGGCTACCAAACGAGAGGACACGCTCGTGATGGACATCAAACTGAACATCATCGAGATACTGCAGGTAACTAGGGAGTGTGGAGGTGAGATGAAGCTGCTGAGTGTGATGGTAGGGGACAGGGGTGTGGTGTGGGGCTATGGCCAGGTTTTTAATGCTGCCACGTGTCCGTTGTGCCGTTTGGCATCTCCTGACCTTCCCTCTCCTCTCGTGTTCAGTTTATCATGGACGTGCGTCTCGACTACCGGATCAGCTGCCTGCTGTCCATCTACAAACGCGAGTGGGACAGCGTGTTCGGCGGCGACAGACCGGTGCGCGGACCGCGCGTGGACGAACGCATCGCCGTACAGGCCGAGGACATCTTCGGTGGCGGGTGAGTGGAGGGGAGGGGGGGTGAGTGGAGGGGAGGAGGGTGGAGGGGGAGGGTGGAGGTAAGGGCGGGTGAGTGAGTGAGAGAGGAGAGAGAGGGCGAGAGAGAGAGAGAGAGAGAGAGAGAGAGAGGAGAGAGAGAGAGAGAGAGAGAGAGAGAGAGAGAGAGAGAGAGAGAGAGAGAGAGAGAGAGAGAGAGAGAGAGAGAGAGAGAGAGAGAGACGCGCTGGATCCCAGCCGCCCTGGCCGCCGGCCTCCGCGGTCCGCCGGCCGTCCGGCTGCGCCTCCCTCAGGGGGACCGAACGCACTGACAACAACGACGGAAACGTGCGACACTCAACTGAGTTGTGCGGGACTGGACGCTCTCTAACAGCATACCAAAGTTGCGAGCAATGCTATCTTTTTAGCAACGCCACCTGTTTGTGTGCGGGCCACCCCACGGCCCCCCAGCGGTGCACCGTATGTTTTCCGCGCGGTCGGCCGAGCCGGTGCTCTGTGGACGGGGTGTCAGCTGCAGCGCGTGCTGCGGCCGCCACCCAGCCCAGCGGACGGGGCTGGTCGCTCACACACCCCCACAGCCCGGCTCTAACGCTACATCACACAGCAGCCGAGTCCCGGGTACCGGACATACTACGACCTGTGAACCGACACACACGTGTCGATACCCGCCCGACCTGCTCTGCGGCGTGTTATGGTGGTATTCCGGGCGGTGTCCGGGGCCGTGGTGTACCCCGGCTGTGGCGTGTTGTGGTGGTATTCCGGGCGGTGTCCGGGCCCGTGGTGTACCCCGGCTGTGCCGTGTTGTGGTGGTATTCCGGGCGGTGTCCGGGCCCCGTGGTGTACCCCGGCTGTGGCGTGTTGTGGCGGTATTCCGGGCGGTGTCCGGGGCCCGTGGTGTACCCCAGCTGTGGCGTGTTGTGGTGGTATTCCGGGCGGTGTCCGGGCCCCGTGGTGTACCCCGGCTGTGGCGTGTTGTGGCGGTATTCCGGGCGGTGTCCGGGGCCCGTGGTGTACCCCGGCTGTGGCGTGTTGTGGCGGTATTCCGGGCGGTGTCCGGGGCCCGTGGTGTACCCCGGCTGTGGCGTGTTGTGGCGGTATTCCGGGCGGTGTCCGGGGCCCGTGGTGTACCCCGGCTGTGGCGTGTTGTGGTGGTATTCCGGGCGGTGTCCGGGCCCGTGGTGTACCCCGGCTGTGGCGTGTTGTGGCGGTATTCCGGGCGGTGTCCGGGGCCCGTGGTGTACCCCGGCTGTGGCGTGTTGTGGCGGTATTCCGGGCGGTGTCCGGGGCCCGTGGTGTACCCCGGCTGTGGCGTGTTGTGGCGGTATTCCGGGCGGTGTCCGGGGCTCGTGGTGTACCCCGGCTGTGGCGTGTTGTGGTGGTATTCCGGGCGGTGTCCGGGCCCGTGGTGTACCCCGGCTGTGGCGTGTTGTGGTGGTATTCCGGGCGGTGCCCGGGCCCGTAGTGTATAGTCGGTCAAATATGTATCTTTCCCGGCCGCCAAGTGGCGCTACGGTCTGGATTCGATAGTTGGCTGAGCCCACACCCCAGCTGCCCTGGCGGCTCTGGCGGCCCTGTGACGTCACGCGCGGGGGGCGGAGCTACACAGCGGCCGGCTGGAGAGTGACCGCAGACCAGCACTGGACGGCCTCGCCGCCGGGTGCTCCGGCGGGTCTGGCCGGGAGAGGCGAGCAAGCGGATGCGTGAGGAATCTAACGAATGTGAGGGCAGCGCGATGGTCTAATGATGGCTGTGCTTTCATGCGCCGTGTAAATTGTAGACTGAGTGCTATGAGCTATCAAAGGATTATCTGGTGTTTCAACAGGGGTCGCTGACCTAAAAATTAAGATGGTTGCTCTTGATACGATTGAATGCTTGGTGATATGATGATTAGCGCAAGAGAAATATTTAATCGAATTATGACCGGTTATTTTTTGATAAAGCAAAAACTTTTTTCATTTTTTTTTGGCATTAACGGGAAAGCGTTAAGCCATATCTACTGAAAATCTTAACCTGCGCCGGGCCGGGGGGGGGGGGGCGATTTGCGCCCCCCCCCCAGGTTTTTCGCAGATAGCCGAAAAACGGCGGCGTGCAGCGCCACCAAATTTTGCATACCTGTTTTTCCATCTATTGCGCATACTGTGTGCGAATTTTGACCTTATATGACTTAAGGTCAGGTCAACAGGTCGGTTTGAGTGACCTAACGTCACAAAAAGTTTGAACTTGCACCAAAGCTACAACTGTTGACCGATCGATATGAAACTTTCAGGAGTTAGTAAGGGTGACAATATCCACAAAATGTATGTCTCGGATTTTTTATCTATGACCTGAGGTCAGGTCAATCTCACAACCTCCCCATTATAAGTCAATGGGATAAATTTCAACTTCATCTGAATGCCACCCGATCCACACAATATACTCAGGATCATGGTGTTGCAGGTCCCTGGTGGTCATTCTACCGAAAGATGTCACCGGTGACCTTTGGAAGGTGTCACTAGGTCATCCGAGGTCACCTGAGGTCACCAGCGGGGGTTTTCTGCAATAACTTTTGAGTGAATAGAAATAGAGACTCCGTTCGACGTTTATCATGTTTGTCTGATCAATGCGGATCGAATGATATGCAACATGACCTATTTCAGTCAGGTCATGACCTTGACCTTAGGTCAAATTTTCAACTTGACCTTTCGAGGTCACATGATATAGCTTTCGATGCGCTTTGACAAGCTAAGAACGATGACGTTCGAATCGATCCTTTATCTTGTCTGGATCAAAAGCTATTTAAGAAAAAGTATCAGAAGTAAAAACGTTTTTTATCGCTCTTTCGAACGCCGCCTACCGCTTGTCTCTACGACGCTCAGGAGTCGAGTTAGACGGGGGGGGGGGGGCGTAAAACCGCCCCCTCCTAAAACAACCTCCTAAACCAACCCTCCTAAAGATTTCTGCAACCGTTCTACCCTCATCACTCAACTGAATAATTCACCCTTTTCAAAAACGGTGCAGTGATACGGCATCTCAAACCTAGAGCGACTACACTCAAGTTCAAGCTAACGGTCTCCACTCTCCAATTCAGATACCTATCGAAACCTTTCCGCGACCCGGTGCTGTGGCTCAGTCAGTGGGCCAGCTGGCCGCAGACCATACCCGCAGGGCATGAACCTTTGACCATATTAGGTCAACACGCCGTGGCCCCAGCCCGCTCGCCAGGTCCGCGCTCATTGGCCGACGCGGCAACCGCACAACCTGTCCCCTCCCCTCCGTAGTACTCGCAGCGGCCGGCGGATTCAGCCAAGTTACCGACCTGCCCAGCTTGGGGAGGGCCGGCCGGGAAAGATACATATTTGACCGACTATACCCCGGCTGTGGCGTGTTGTGGTGGTATTCCGGGCGGTGTCCGGGCCCGTGGTGTACCCCGGCTGTGGCGTGTTGTGGTGGTATTCCGGGCGGGGTCCGGGGCCCGTGGTGTACCCCGGCTGTGGCGTGTTGTGGCGGTATTCCGGGCGGTGTCCGGGGCCCGTGGTGTACCCCGGCTGTGGCGTGTTGTGGCGGTATTCCGGGCGGTGTCCGGGGCCCGTGGTGTCCCCCGGCTGTGGCGTGTTGTGGTGGTATTCCGGGCGGTGTCCGGGGCCCGTGGTGTCCCCCGGCTGTGGCGTGTTGTGGTGGTATTCCGGGCGGTGTCCGGGGCCCGTGGTGTACCCCGGCTGTGGCGTGTTGTGGTGGTATTCCGGGCGGTGTCCGGGGCCGTGGTGTACCCCGGCTGTGGCGTGTTGTGGTGGTATTCCGGGCGGTGTCCGGGCCCGTGGTGTACCCCGGCTGTGGCGTGTTGTGGTGGTATTCCGGGCGGTGTCCGGGGCCCGTGGTGTACCCCGACTGTGGCGTGTTGTGGTGATATTCCGGGCGGTGTCCGGGGCCCGTGGTGTACCCCGGCTGTGGCGTGTTGTGGCGGTATTCCGGGCGGTGTCCGGGCCCGTTGTGTACCCGGCTGTGGCGTGTTGTGGTGGTATTCCGGGCGGTGTCCGGGGCCCGTGGTGTACCCCGGCTGTGGCGTGTTGTGGCGGTATTCCGGGCGGTGTCCGGGCCCGTGGTGTACCCCGGCTGTGGCGTGTTGTGGTGGTATTCCGGACGGTGTCCGGGCCCCGTGGTGTACCCCGGCTGTGGCGTGTTGTGGCGGTATTCCGGGCGGTGTCCGGGCCCGTGGTGTACCCCGGCTGTGGCGTGTTGTGGTGGTATTCCGGGCCCGTGGTGTACCCGGCTGTGGCGTGTTGTGGTGGTATTCCGGGCGGTGTCCTGGGTCCGTGGTGTACCCCGGCTGTGGCGTGTTGTGGTGGTATTCCGGGCGGTGTCCGGGGCCCGTGGTGTACCCCGACTGTGGCGTGTTGTGGTGATATTCCGGGCGGTGTCCGGGGCCCGTGGTGTACCCCGGCTGTGGCGTGTTGTGGCGGTATTCCGGGCGGTGTCCGGGCCCGTTGTGTACCCCGGCTGTGGCGTGTTGTGGTGGTATTCCGGGCGGTGTCCGGGGCCCGTGGTGTACCCCGGCTGTGGCGTGTTGTGGCGGTATTCCGGGCGGTGTCCGGGCCCGTGGTGTACCCCGGCTGTGGCGTGTTGTGGCGGTGTCCGGGCCCGTGGTGTACCCCGGCTGTGGCGTGTTGTGGTGGTATTCCGGGCGGTGTCCGGGGCCCGTGGTGTACCCCGACTGTGGCGTGTTGCGGTGGTGTCCGGGTCCGTGGTGTACCCCGGCTGTGGCGTGTTGTGGTGATATTCCGGGCGGTGTCCGGGTCCGTGGTGTACCCCGGCTGTGGCGTGTTGTGGTGGTATTCCGGGCGGTGTCCGGGCCCGTGGTGTACCCCGGCTGTGGCGTGTTGTGGTGGTATTCCGGGCGGTGTCCGGGTCCGTGGTGTACCCCGGCTGTGGCGTGTTGTGGTGGTATTCCGGGCGGTGTCCGGGCCCATGGTGTACCCCGGCTGTGGCGTGTTGTGGTGATATTCCGGGCGGTGTCCGGGGCCCGTGGTGTACCCCGGCTGTGGCGTGTTGTGGTGGTATTCCGGGCGGTGTCCGGGGCCCGTGGTGTACCCCGGCTGTGGCGTGTTGTGGTGATATTCCGGGCGGTGTCCGGGGCCCGTGGTGTACCCCGGCTGTGGCGTGTTGTGGTGGTATTCCGGGCGGTGTCCGGGCCCATGGTGTACCCCGGCTGTGGCGTGTTGTGGCGGTATTCCGAGCGGTGTCCGGGGCCCGTGGTGTACCCCGGCTGTGGCGTGCTGTGGTGGTATTCCGGGCGGGGTCCGGGGCCCGTGGTGTACCCCGGCTGTGGCGTGTTGTGGTGATATTCCGGGCGGTGTCCGGGGCCCGTGGTGTACCCCGGCTGTGGCGTGTTGTGGTGGTATTCCGGGCGGTGTCCGGGCCCGTGGTGTACCCCGGCTGTGGCGTGTTGTGGTGGTATTCCGGGTGGTGTCCGGGGCCCGTGGTGTACCCCGGCTGTGGCGTGTTGTGGTGGTATTCCGGGCGGTGTCCGGGGCCCGTGGTGTACCCCGGCTGTGGCGTGTTGTGGTGATATTCCGGGCGGTGTCCGGGGCCCGTGGTGTACCCCGGCTGTGGCGTGTTGTGGTGGTATTCCGGGCGGTGTCCGGGCCCATGGTGTACCCCGGCTGTGGCGTGTTGTGGTGATATTCCGGGCGGTGTCCGGGGCCCGTGGTGTACCCCGGCTGTGGCGTGTTGTGGCGGTATTCCGAGCGGTGTCCGGGGCCCGTGGTGTACCCCGGCTGTGGCGTGCTGTGGTGGTATTCCGGGCGGGGTCCGGGGCCCGTGGTGTACCCCGGCTGTGGCGTGTTGTGGTGATATTCCGGGCGGTGTCCGGGGCCCGTGGTGTACCCCGGCTGTGGCGTGTTGTGGTGGTATTCCGGGCGGTGTCCGGGCCCGTGGTGTACCCCGGCTGTGGCGTGTTGTGGTGGTATTCCGGGTGGTGTCCGGGCCCGTGGTGTCCCCCGGCTGTGGCGTGTTGTGGTGGTATTCCGGGCGGTGTCCGGGGTGTCCCCCGGCTGTGGCGTGTTGTGGTGGTATTCCGGGCGGTGTCCGGGGTCCGTGGTGTCCCCCGGCTGTGGCGTGTTGTGGTGGTGTTCCGGGGTCCGTGGTGTCCCCCGGCTGTGGCGTGTTGTGGTGGTGTTCCGGGCGGTGTCCGGGGCCCGTCACTGTCCGCGGCCCGGTGGGACTGCGGTGACACACGTCCAGACAGACGTCAGCGGCCGCGCACCGCACCCGTACTGGCAGCTTTAATCTGCTAATGCAGCGACTCGTGCTGCCCGGCCCGGCGCCTGTACATGCATGGATTTAGACCATTTCCACCACTCCAACTGTACCACTCACACGGCAGTGTCACCAGTCACCAGCCACCACTGAAGCACCCCTCGGCAATATCACCAGCACCAGTCACCACCCAGCCCACCACCGATCCCCTGTACGGCCGACGGCACCAGTCTGAGCAGACTGTCCGAGACGGCACCAGTCTGAGCAGACTGTCTGAGACGTCACCAGTCTGAGCAGACTGTCCGACCCCCATCCCCCCATATCCCGACTATACCCCCGCTCCCCCGCTGACTGACCCTGGTGACGTTCCGGGTCAGGTGACCGACGTGGATCTTGAGCGGTTTGGGTGTGGGCGAGCGGGCCTTGCGGCGCGGCGCGCTGCGCGACCGGGAGCGTCGCTCGCGGTCGCGGCCGGCCGGCGGCCGCTCGGGCCGACTGGCCGCCGGCTTCCTCCGGCCGCGGCCCGAGCGGCCGCCCGAGCTGCTGCTGGACGAGCTGCTGCTGCGGCTGCTGGCGCTGCTGCTGCTGGAAGAAGAGCCCGAGGAGCTGGCCGAGGAGCTGCCGGACGGAGCAGAGGGAGCGTCAGTCGACAATCCCACCAGACGCCCTCCTCAGCAGACACGCCAGGTAACTGATCCTCATCGATAGGTACTTTCCACAACCACCAAACCCACTCTCACAGTAGGTAGGTAGGTACTGCACTGATTGAAAACACTTAAAAATACACACACAGTGTCAGCAGTGTGAGTGCCAGACCAGTGAGTGTACTGGTGTCTCTGTCAACTGTCAGTACTGTCAGTACTTTGTCAGAAGTGTCAGCACCAGTGATTGAGTCAGTGCAGTCAGTAGTAGGTGACAGAAGCCATGATCTCACAGCTCAAGATGAGATTAAAGACTGACCTGCGGCTGCTGTCACTAGAAGAAGGGCTACCACTTTTAGCTCTCTTCTTCTTCTCTCGCTCCCGACCACGCTCCTTCTTCTCAGCCGGCTTCTTTTCGTCATCGGAACCAGAGCCAGAGCCTGAGCTGCTGCTCTCACTGCGGTCACGAGCCCTGCAGGACAACAGCACCAAGAGTGAAGGGTTTACTGCAAGTTAGTGAAATGGAATCAGAAGAAACTCGACATGGATCCAATTACCATGATAAAAGTCCCATAAAACTTGATAAAGCATTACATTGACATCAATGCCGGTCAGAGGATCTGGATCACAACCATCGATTCAGATTGATTAAAACATCAGATAAAAGCAGCTACTCACATGTCTCAAGCAGATGTTGAGAAAAATAGGGAGCCTGCAGGAGTATTGAAATGCAACTATGAACTAGCTAATGATAATTATCATCCACCCATTCCCCTCAAAGACCACACACACGCCTTGCGAGCAAAGGAGCGTGCGAATTTCGGTGAAGTAGGTTTTGTCGCATACGCGCCATTCCATTATGACGGTCTTTCAATATTTGTTTGTTGTAATATGACGTCATAAGTGAAAGTACAAAGATTTTCATTGGATGTGAGTAGTGGTATTCAGGTAACTTACGTCATAGAAGATAACAAATAATATCTCCGCTCTCGTGCTCATTTCGGGGACAAGCCCTTTGATGGCTGCGTAATTTGGCGGATGGTGAGTGTGAAAGCTGGGGCTTATATATTATTTTATTCGCGTGGTTCGAACAATATGCATGGTTCCTTTCATACACGCCGTGCTAGTATCCATTACTCTGCTCTCTTTGTTGTCATTTTGGTTCTTAAACAAACCCTGGTGCATGCCAATGTCTGATCGTTTCAGTTTGGCGCGGTTTTTGGTTAATGCGGTTTCAGTTTTTATTTGGTTTAGGTAGTTTCGACAGAGGATATTAGAGTAAATATACCAGTTTTAATAGTCAGATGATTTGTTTCAACTTTCTTAGTACCTAATGAAAAACTTTTTGGTGAGCACAAAAAATTACAAGAGCGGCAACTTGAATTGGCATTCCAATTTCAATTTTGAGCCCTGAGCAGCAGTATTGCACAATATTTCATTCTAGGCAATGTTGTGGAGGCACTCAGGAGGTGTGAGGTGTTGAGGAATTAGCAGATGCTATTAGGTCTGAGGATTTAGAGTGGAATGGTGGAGGCTCTGACACATGGTATCGTGCAGAACTGCTTCACTGGTGCCTCTTTGTCTAAGAAAATGTTGTAGGTACTGGAAACTGGAAAGATACTATGTTCATTCAGTATGAAATATATTTTATGATAGTTTTTCATGTCAAAAGTGCACACACCTAGATTTTGTGGTAAACATTATAGATCTTGTATGATGTAGTTAAGTGTAGTTTTCCATTCTGTTTGGTGTGAGCTGGCACACATTTGTCACTCTATCTGGTGTGGCTCATGGACTGTGTTGTCTTGCTTTGTAGTCTGGCTGAATGGTGGGGTGAACCACACTCCCACATTACACTAGGCTTGGGCAACCTCTGTGGAGGCTGGGGGAGCAAGTTAAAATGTGCCCAGCAAGGCAGCCAACATACTGGCTGTACACTGTACAGCCACCCTTCCCTGTCAGACCAGACCTGACCCCAGTGAGTGGCAGTGATGACTTAAGCTCTGCCCTTCCTCCCTCAGACCAGACCAACCCCCCCCCCCCCCAGTTAGTGGCAGGGCTAGTTTTGAAAACGCCACCCCTCTCTGGTGACTGGTCCCTGGCAGCTCTTATTTTTGTCCTTTACAAAACTGCTCTGGCACCTGGAATCTATTTTTCTTTTTTATGATGTATACCGTAAAACGGGGCGACTTTGGACAGTTTTGAGACTTATCAGTGAATATCTTGAAAACTACTGTAGATAGAAATGTGAAACATGGACTATTTTGTGGGCTGAGTCTGGCCTTATCCATCCATGGTGTCAACAAAAAATTAGGTATAGCCATTTCCCTATTTTTAAAAAAAAATGTCTGGTGTTCAAAGTCGCCAGGCAATGGGGTGACTTTGAACAGTCTGTGTTTTTCATCATTTATCTCATTAGGTGTGCAATTTCTCGTGCCGGTTGGGGTGGCTTTGAACACCCTGATGCTTTTTAAAAAAGAGGCCAAAAACAATTTATACCTGCAAGAGTCCTTCTGGGGGTAGTAGTCAAAACAAGGCGAGCTCATCAAGCAAAAAACACAACTTCTTGTAACAGCCTCTGCTGATGAATCAAACACTATATTCACAGAAATTAGCACACAGACAGTGAGTAAAAAGAAGCATCTTTCATGGCAAACACCTTACTTACTCACCTTAACACTTGCACAGGCACTGTGGAGCAACACTCACAGGATATGAAATCACTCGATTCAACTCAACTCAAGTGTAATGCATGCACTCGACTAGGTCTGTGCATGAAATACACTTGAGAACACCTGAGTACAGAGTATCCTTGACACCCGACTTAAAGGAAATAGTTCACTTTTTAACATGGGTTTTGAACTGGAATAGCAGTTCCGTAGCTTGGGCTGAGACGAGCATAAATCAGGAGCTTTTACAGCCCAACGATCACCCTAGGCAAAGATATTCTATTTCTCGTCTCGAAAAAGGTGTCTTGCGTTGAGGATGTGTGCCTTGCATATATTTCCATCCAGTATGAAAAGAGCATGGGTCCCGAAAATTCTTCAGAAACTAGAGAAATTATCTACGAGAACTCTAGAGAAATTCTCGTACTGATCAATTAGGACATTCAGGGGAACATTATCAGATCGAGCAGATCGCCCAAATGCCGGTGGCTGCGATAATTTCTCTGTTTCTGAAGAATTTTCGGGACCCATGCTCTTTTCATACTGGATCGCGTGTGCCTTACAGAAACTGAAAAGTTCTTCCTATATCAAAATATAGAAAAAAAATCTTTTGTTATAAAAAGGTTTTATTTTCTTTGCTGATTATTTTGAACATAAAAAATAATAAATCGTTGCAAAAAAAAAAATAATTTCGTGAAAGTGAACTATTTCCTCCTTAATACTAACGTCTAACACTTAACACTAGGTACACCTGCTAGCGTCAGAACACGTCAGTCATGAGTTTACCCCAGCATCAGTTTGTATGGTGAGAGCTCCTCACTCTTGAAGTGGAGCCTGCCCCTCCTGTACATGTCAGGCTGGCTTAGCTTGCACACCAGCTGGTCGATCTCTGTTACACCCTGTTACAATGTAACAGGGTGTTACAATGTTACACCCTGTTACGATCACTGTTACAATGTATGCAGTGTATTTTGGTAGGGCTACTTTGAACAACAAGTCTTTTGAACAGCAAGTCAGGCATGCATGTCACCGGGGCTACATTGAACACGTTCAAAGTCACCCCAGCAAAATTCCAAAAATGTCATGTTTTTACAAATCCCTTCACAGCATTGGCCATGCTCAAGCAAGCTAAAAAATTATGATGGGGCAATGTAGGCCAACCATCGAGGATGGCAAAAATATGTCATTCCATTCAGGGGTGTCGATTTCTCAAAATGGTTGGGGGTGCTCAACCCCTGCACCGGGTGAAAGATTGCAGCTTTGCCATGGGGCACAACCGTACAAGGCATGGTTGGGTATCCCCATAAGGTACTGATAATCCCGGGATTTCCACTAATATTTCCCAAAGGTTGAACGTTCTTCAAAATCATTCTGCTCGTCCTAGTACTTAGCTACCTCATTACATAAACATCTTTCCGAAAAAAGTCGTACATTTGCCGGCAGCTCGGCAGCAGCCCCAGCACCTCTGTAATAAGGTGACAGAAACCGATGACCGCGGTTAGCACCGGTGCAGCAGCCCCTGCGGTCCACAGGGCGGACATTGCGCGGGAGGCAACGGTATAGCTAGGAGGCTATGGCGTTAATCAGACGATCACAATAATCGCTAAAAAAATGACAGGTGATCGCATTTCGATATTTATGGGTTTACGATTTTCCTCAGTGGCGTAGCCAGGTGGGCCCGTGAGGCACATGCCCCCCCCCCCTGCATCAGGTTCAGGGGCCCATCGAGTTATTCGGGCCTGAGGGGCACTGCGGCGCCAATTGGCCGCTGAGGGTCCAGGTTGGCTATATTTGGACTCAGAAGGGCCCCACAGGGCTCGTAAGAACACCTCATGGGCCCACAAGTACCAACATTAAGATCTCCATAAGGGCCCAAGCCAGCCTCTGAGGGCCACTTGCCGGCCTCTGGGGGTCTTAACCGGCCTATAGAGGGCCAGCTCTAGGAGCTGCACACCCGCCTGTAATGGCCCCACACCCATTTCTCTGAGGGCCCCTATAACGGCGAATGTGAGGGCCCTCACCGGCACCCCTGAGCGCCACACCGGCGTCTCTGAGGGCCCCACACCCCTGACTCTGAGGCCCTACACCAATGCCTTTAAAAACCCTACATGGGCGGTTCTGAGGGCCCTTGACAGTTACCAGCGACCCTGACGGCCCCACACAGGTGACTCGGAGGATCCCAGCGGCGTCTGAGCGCACCATACCAGTCTCTGAGAACCACACAAGGCTCCTGAAGGCACCGGTGACCCCTTGATATCTTCTTGTCGGCCTATGAAGGGCCCGTTCCGTAACAGCAGTTCTGAGGGCCCCACGCGCGCCTGTGATGGCCCTAAACCAGTGTCTCTGAGAGCCACCACAACGGTGCCTGTAAGGGCCGTCACCGGCGACTGTGAAGCCCCCACACGGGCGCCTCCAGTCCGAGGGCCCCACATTGCCATATCTGAGGGCCCCACACTAGTGCCTCTTAAGGCCCTATATCGGCGGCTCTGAGGGCCCAACATCGTAGCTTCTGAAGGCCCCACAAGTGCGCATGTGACGGCCACCCTGCCACCGGTGACATTTGAAGGCCCCACACCGGCGACTGAGGGCTCCATCGGCGTCTAAGTCCGTTCCGGTCTCTAAAGACGACCCCACAGGGTTTCTGAAGGTACCACCGGCCTCTGATGGCCCTTAGCCGGCCTCTGAGGGCCCGTCGCCGGTCTCTGGAGCCCCCTGCTGGCTTGTAAAGGGTACGGGCCAGCAGCTCTAAAGGTCCGACACCCGTGTACGACGGACCCACACCACTACACCAGTGTCTTTACAACTTGACGTCTTTTTTCGCTCTTCTTCTTAAAACTAACTTTTCTTCTTTACATCTTTATTTCATGCCTTGTAAATAGCGTAATTGTTTTATTTTTATTAGTGAAAGACTGCAGAACAATTATTTTCCTCAAGCAGAGTTAGTGGGAGTTATTGAGGGACAAAATCATTGGGGGTGCCCGGAAAACCATTGGGGGTGCTCATTTGAGCATTGGGGGTGCTGCAGCACCCCCAAAGGTATACAAATCGACACCCATGATTCCATTCCATGACCATAATGACTAGTCCATGCCATATGGAAGTTTACGAGTATATCTCAAAAAGCTAAAAACATTGAGTTAGTTTTTGATTTTTTACTCCTATGTACTAAGGTACATATATTCCAATATGCCATGTACATTTTCAAAAATGTGCATTCTTATCTGTAAAAAAACATGGCTGCATTTATAATTAACATTTTTAAGATATTTGCGATTCCCTCTAAGAAGTGAACAGCGTTCAAAGTCACCCGGAAGTTCAAAGCCACCCCAGTTTACGGTAAGTGATTTCTACTCATTATGCATACTGCTTTGGTTGTTTTAATAGCTAGCTGGTTCTCTAGTTGTAATTTGTTTTCTGGGACCAAGAAATGTTAAATGCCTAGCATTTCATTTGCATCGTCATTCCTTATGCCAATATGGCTGAACAGTAGAGGTGGCAAAATGTGGACCCGAGGACCCGGTCCAAAGAACCAGTCTGGACCCATATGGGTCCAGACCGGTTCCTGGAAATTTTCTGACGGGTCCAACCGGGTCCTACCATAAACTGTACATCTTGCACACTACACATTATTGCAAAATATGAAGTGAATGAAGCGAATGTTTCTTGGCACACAGTAGCTCATGAGTATTCCCAGTGGGAAATAGGCTGCTTTACATGATGCAACTAATGATATAGTACCTACAAGTAGTTTGTACCTATTAATTGACTTTTGGGGAACCGGGTCCAACTGGTTCCGATTCCAACAAAGGCCGGGTCCGACTGGTTCCAGAAATGTCCAGCCGGGTCTGGTTCGAGTCTGGTTCCCAAAATTTTCATCTTTTGCCACCTCTACTGAACAGCCACAGCAGTTTGCTATGCCCTAATGCCCATTCTGTTTTGTTTTCCAGTGCCCCCACTTCTCTCGGTGACTTCAGGACAGCAGTTTCACATCATGTCTGGCATTGCCTCCTCGCGACTTTCTGAGGAGAGAAAAGCGTGGCGCAAGGACCACCCGTTCGTAAGTAAACGCTGCCGATGGATGCATACGTGTTGGCGAGACTGCCCTCTAATAAGACGCCTCTTGTAGCGACGAACGAGTGAGCCATGCCCGTCCAGAGTCAGACCCAGACGGTTTGGGCGGCCCGTCGAGACGGTTAGTGCGACCCGTCCTGCTGACCTATTCCCGGCGGCACGAGACGTACACCCTGCACGTGACGTGTGTACCTGCAGTGACAATCCAGTCTTGACGGGGAACTGCGTCAACATCGAAGGCTGGCGGCCGAGCTGTCCGAAGGCCGGCGGCCGGCCGTCTGGTCCCCCCCCCCCCCCCGGCGCGCTGGCTGGGACGGCGGAGAGGGCAAATGATCGCTTTTATGGATTCAGTGTATGTATATGCACTGAATGCTCATTGCACACATTATCGTGTTGAACGGCTGCAAGCCAGACATGTGTGCCATTATTTTTCTATGTTTTGTATTCTTATTATACATGTACGGTATTACAAAACTTATGTCATCCGGCACACATGCTTCAAATGACTTGACCCGTTATGCTAAAAGGATAATATCGTCGCCATTTTTCGGCGTATTTTTTCTAGTCTCCAATATGTACCTAGGTACTGATTAATGAATGATATTTCGTAATTTCATGTGACGCTCCGTCCCTTTTCCACCGTCAGGGTTTCGTGGCGCGCCCGGCGAAGAACGCCGACGGAACGCTCAACCTGATGCTGTGGGAGTGCGCCATTCCCGGCAAAAAGGGCGTAAGTCGGAGCGACATGAGCGAACTAGTTACACAATGTGAATGTAAACTCTGTTATAGTCAATCCGTTATCAGTGCCGTGCCGACCGCCGTTCATGCTGCCCGCGACATTGGCGGATCCAGCTCAGAGTTTTTTTTTTTGGGGGGGGGGGGGGGGCAAACCATAACAATTTATCGATTCTTTCCATGCCTCGTTCATAGGCGTAATGTTAAAATTATGCCGTTTGGGAGGGGCAAATGCCCATTTTGCCCCCCCTGGATCCGCGACTGGCCCGCGATTTTGTCTGTTAGCCCTGTCTGAACTGACGCCGATTTTGTCTTTCGCCGTGTAACGTGACGCCGCTGTTGTCTGTTGCTGACTGCTCTGTAATCTGACACCGCTGTTGTCTGTTGCCTGCTGGCCGTATGATCTGACGCCGCCGTCGGCCCTCCCTGCAGACCGCCTGGGAGGGCGGCTACTACAAGCTGAAGATGATCTTCAAAGACGACTACCCGACCTCGCCTCCCAAGTGCAAGTTCGACCCGCCGCTGTTCCACCCGAACGTCTACCCCTCCGGTGAGCGCGGCGCCGGCGTACGACTACGAGTCCGTCGGGGGGGGGGGGGGGAGGGAGGATCGGTCACATAGGGAAGGGTCTGTCACAGGGAAGGGTGGGAACTGGGAAGGTCAGTCACACAGGGGAGGGGAGGGAGGGCAGGGGTCAGTCTCATAGGAGAGGGTCTGACCAGTCGCAAAGGGGAGGGAGGGAGGGGGAGCGAGGCGCACCGCGTCTCTGCCGCCGACTATCGGTACTGGCCGTCTCTGCCGCCGACTATCGGTACTGGCCGTTAATCTGCAGAGCTCATATAACATCTAGTTCACTTCACATTCACAGTCGTAATTCAGTCATTCTCTAGTATCGCTGTGTATATCTGGTGGTGTTCTGTATCTCTGCGGGCACCGTGTCTGTCCCTGCTGGACTGGCGGTAACACTGTTCTCTGTGTGTCTCTGCAGGCACCGTGTCTGTCACTGCTGGACTGGCGGTAATACTGTTCTCTGTCTCTGCAGGCACCGTGTGTCTGTGTCTGCTGGACTGGCGGTAATACTGTTCTGTGTCTCTGCAGGCACCGTGTGTCTGTCACTGCTGGACTGGCGGTATTACTGTTCTGTGTCTCTGCAGGCACCGTGTGGTCTGTCACTGCTGGACTGGCGGTAATACTGTTCTCTATCTCTGCAGGCACCGTGTCTGTGTCTGCTGGACTGGCGGTAATACTGTTCTGTGTCTCTGCAGGCACCGTGTGTCTGTGTCTGCTGGACTGGCGGTAATACTGTTCTGTGTCTCTGCAGGCACCGTGTGTCTGTCGCTGCTGGACTGGCGGTAATACTGTTCTGTGTCTCTGCAGGCACCGTGTGTCTGTCGCTGCTGGACTGGCGGTAATACTGTTCTGTGTCTCTGCAGGCACCGTGTGTCTGTCGCTGCTGGACTGGCGGTAATACTGTTCTGTCTCTGCAGGCACCGTGTGTCTGTCGCTGCTGGACTGGCGGTAATACTGTTCTGTGTCTCTGCAGGCACCGTGTGTCTGTCGCTGCTGGACTGGCGGTTTATAGTTTATACTGTTCTGTCTCTGCAAGCACCGTGTGTCTGTGTCTGCTGGACCGGCGGTAATACTGTTCTGTGTGTCTCTGCAGGCACCGTGTGTCTGTCACTGCTGGACGAGGAGAAGGACTGGCGTCCGGCCATCACCATCAAGCAGATCCTGCTCGGCATCCAGGACCTGCTCAACGACCCCAACATCAAGGACCCCGCCCAGGCAGAGGCCTACACCATCTATTGGTCAGTGGCCGGGCGCGGGGGAAGGGGAGGGGGGATCGGTAGGAGCACGCCTGCGAGGTGTGGGCCGAGTAGTTATCGACCATCTGTGAGGCTTATGTGTCGAGAGATGTGTGCTGTCCTACGGCCTTTTATATTACCTATCCTTCAGGTGCCTATCAGAAGCTAAAGTTTGCTGCATAACTCGTAGTCTGCCTGTGAAGTTGCAGGCTCTTAATGTCCTTGTTAAAATTGCTATTCTTCCTCTTTTTTAAAAGCCATAAAAATGTTGTGCATTCGTACTTTCACTCATGCGTTTCTCTTATGCTGTAAGGCTGCTCGTTTCCCGTTTCCGCTGTCTGACGCCGCGCCCTCTTTGTTTCCCGTTTGCCGCTGTGTCTGACGCCGCACCCTGTTTGCTGTTTTCCGCTGTGTCTGACGCCGCCCCTCTCCCCGTGTTACAGCCAAAACCGGCTCGAGTACGAGAAGCGGGTCCGCGCGCAGGCCCGCGCCATGTCCGCCCCGCTCGACTAGGGGGCTCCGGCCGCCGTCAGACGAGCCCCGCTCGGAGCCGGGTCCTCATGAGCTGTCAGCGAGAGACCAATGATGGGCGCGGCGCGGACGGCCGCCCGCCGCCGGCGCCGGCCCTGTGATTTTTGTCCGAGAGTCGCCCGTGTCTCTGGAAAAATGAGGCGATTTCTGTGGGATTTTGTTACGGAACTAAATTCGTTTGAGAAAGTCTGTTAACCCAATGAAGCTTGCTCCACTCCTGGTACATTGGAGCTCAATGAGACTGAATGCGGTCTCAGACATCAACGTGCTTCTGTGTGTATGTGTGTGTGTATCAGGGCGTACCCGTGTGTGTGGGGGAGGGAGGGGGGACTGTGCGGCGGGGTGTGCTGTCGGTGCGGCACGTGCTGTAGGTATGTGCTGTCTGTGCGGCAGTGTGCTGTATGTGCTATCTATGCGGCGCGCGGGGCTCTGACCGACCACGTGTCAGTGGCCGCCTCACATTTCCACGGTGTCTGCGCGAACTCGCCGTCTGTACGAGCGGCGGCCGCCCTGCGCTGTCCGCGGCCGGTCGGCTACTTTTGGTCCCTTTTCACGTTCATCGGTTAGGGTCGCAGAGGTTTTAGCCGAACTCATAGCGGTGGAAAATACAGGCACATCACTTTTCGGCGCGTTTGAGAGGAGGTTGGAACGGGAGCTGCAGTTACGGTGGCGCGGGCGCCTCGGCCAGGGAGGCTGCCGTTACAATGGAGAGGGCGCCGCTACCTGGTAGGGCGCCTCTCCTCCATGAGACAGGCAAACGGTTTGTCAGGTTCGACTGAGCCGTGCTCCCGCTTCTCGTGGTCCAAGTCGCCACACTGCGGTTATTTACGTTCACCCAACATAATGCCTCGAGTCAACGTTTGTCAGATGTCATCACCCGGTTCCTCCAGTCGAAAACAGTCAACTGCAGCGGCTCCAACCGAACCCACTCCCCTGGACGGCACTCGGATGGGCACACAGTCACGTCAGGCGGGCCGAGCGGAGAGTCGACCCGCGGCGGTCGCCCCCCCCCCCCTCCGATTACCTCCTACACCACTCCCCCCAGCCCGGGACGGTCACAAGTCCGGCGCTGCTAAACACGCAGCACAGGACTGAAAACAGGGAACAGTCAGTGAGCAAGTCTATTGACCAACACATGTCACACATCACGTGACTGGCCGCCATTGGCGTGCCCGTGCTGAACGCCTCGGTCACGTGACAAACAACACCCGCTCAGGAATGCCCACTGCAGATCTCTGTCCGCTCGCTCGCTCTCACCCTCTCTTCTCTCACATCGAGGACGGTTTCGTAGCAGCATTCTCGCTGTGACAGCTCCCTCCGACCTCCCCCGCGGCAGACAGTGGACTCGCCCGGGCGGCCGCCAGTACACGGTACTCGGCGCCGTCACAAAGTGGACTCGTCCGCCCGGGGGAGGTACCATATATCAGGGTAACATTAACTCGCCGGCCGTCGGCGGCCAATAACGTAACAGGCGGAGGCACGACCCCGAGACCGCGCCCGGTCCCACGGCGCCACCGGCCGCCACACACACACACACACAGCTGAGTCGAGTAGAGCGGTCCGCCAGCGCCGCCGCGGCGCACCGGCTCCTGATATGTGGGCCACGCGCGCCCGACGCACGCAACAAAAATAAATTATATTGCACTGGGTGATTTCCGCCGGCCGGCGCGGGCTCCCGCCACTGGGAGCGGGCTGCCGCCGCTGGCTCCCGTCCGTCCGCCGTGTCACTCGGGCCGGGCGGCCAGCGCGGCGAACGCGGCCAGCGTGCGGTCGTCGCAGGAGCCCGTGTAGCCGCTGTCGACCGTGTCGGCCGGCGCGCCCGTCAGGTCCAGGAACAGCTTGTCGCGCGCCGGCCGCCGCTCCGCCTCCGCCGGCTGCCGCTCCGCCTCCGCCTCCGCCGGCCGCCGCTCCGCCTCCGCCGGCCGCCGCTCCGCCTCCGCCGGCCGCCGCTCCGCCTCCGCCGGCCGCCGCTCCGCCTCCGCCGGCGGCCCGCTCCCGGCGGCCGCCTCCGCCGGCTCCGGGCGCGCAGGGTCGCCGGCGCCGCCGTCGGTCAGCGGCGCGGCCGGGCCGGCGCCGGGGGAGGGCGGGCCGGCCGGCGCCGACCGCGACTCCACTGCCGGGCCGGCGGCTGGCGACTCCCCGCCCGGCGCCGCTGGTACCGTCCCAGAGGCAGGTATCGCTTCATCACCAGCTGTCTCCACCAGCCGAGAACCAGTCTGGTCTGTCTCCGGGGCAGTCGTCGCCGAGACATCCGTCTCCGTCCCCGGGGCAGTGATCTCTAATACAGTCGTTTCTGTCCCTGACACAGCCGACTCTGTCACTTTAGCAGTTGTCTCCGTCCGCTCCGCCGTCCGCTCGGCCGCCGCCGCTGCGGACGGTCCACCCCCTGCGTCACAGTCCGGCTCCGGCGCCGCCGCGGCCGGTCCGGGGGACGCCGCCCGTTCCTCTCCGGGGCCGGCGGCCACCTCTGACACTGCGGTATCACGGTCCGGGACCACCTCTGACACTGCGGTATTACAGTCCTCGCCAGCCTCTGACACTGCGGCACCACCGGCCGGGCCTACCTCTGACACTGTGACACCGTCGTCCGGGCCCACCTCTGACACTGCGGTATTACAGTCCTCGCCAGCCTCTGACACTGCGGTATCACGGTACGGGACCATCTCTGACACTGCGGTATCACGGTCCGGGCCCACCACTGCGGTATCACGATCCGGACCCACCTCTGACACTGCGGTATCACGGTCCGGGCCCACCTCTGATACTGCGGCACCACTGTCCAGCTCTGACACTCCGCCACCGCCGTCCGGTCCCGCCACCAGCGGCCGCTCGGCCACGTCCGGCGAGACGGCCTCCTCGGCGCGGCCGGCGCCCCCGCGCGCCCACACGTCCACGAAGCGTCCCTCTGGCGCGGCGGCCCAGCCGTGTTCGGCCGCGGCGCCCCAGTCGTGTTCGGCGCCCTGGAACAGCTGCGCCGGGCTGAACGAGCTGCCGCCCGTGTAGCCGGCCGCCGAGAGCGCAGGCTCCAAGTAGAACTCGTCGCCGTCGTCGCCCTCTGCTGAGAGGAAGTAGTGGGCGGCGGCGCCGGCGGCCGGCAGCCGGGGCGCGCACCGCTCCGGCGACTCGGGCAGCTCCGTCAGCGACACGTCCTCGATCTCCTCGCCGTCCAGCTCCCAGTCGGTGTAGTGAGTTACGGCCGCCTGTCCCACACACAGGGGGTCAGTGGGACAGTCCAGGGTCACCGCCGCCTGTCCCACACACAGGGGGTCAGTGGGACCGTCCAGGGTCACCGCCGCCTGTCCCACACACAGGGGGTCAGTGGGACCGTCCAGGGTCACCGCCGCCTGTCCCACACACAGGGGGTCAGTGGGACCGGGTCACGGCCGCCTGTCCCACACACAGGGGGTCAGTGGGACCGGGTCACGGCCGCCTGTCCCACACACAGGGGGTCAGTGGGACCGTCCAGGGTCACCGCCGCCTGTCCCACACACAGGGGGTCAGTGGGACAGTCCAGGGTCACGGCCGCCTGTCCCACACACAGGGGGTCAGTGGGACCGTCCAGGGTCACCGCCGCCTGTCCCACACACAGGGGGTCAGTGGGACCGGGTCACGGCCGCCTGTCCCACACACAGGGGGTCAGTGGGACCGGGTCACGGCCGCCTGTCCCACACACAGGGGGTCAGTGGGACCGTCCAGGGTCACCGCCGCCTGTCCCACACACAGGGGGTCAGTGGGACCGGGTCACGGCCGCCTGTCCCACACACAGGGGGTCAGTGGGACCGGGTCACGGCCGCCTGTCCCACACACAGGGGGTCAGTGGGACCGTCCAGGGTCACCGCCGCCTGTCCCACACACAGGGGGTCAGTGGGACAGTCCAGGGTCACGGCCGCCTGTCCCACACACAGGGGGTCAGTGGGACCGTCCACTGTCCAGGGTCACCGCCGCCTGTCCCACAGTGGAGGGGGGGGGGGGGGGGGGGGGAAGAGGATCGGTCGCTCTTGCGATGTACCTGACACTGTGCGGCGCATGAAATTTATATTCATTGTCTTTCCCCTTACACGGGGCAGCTACGTTTCACATGTGCTCCTAGGACCCCCCCCCCCCTCTGCCCCTAGGACGTCCCCCTCACCGGCGCGACGAAGGACCAGGTTTTCCGTTGGGCCGCTGCTGCTGCTGCTGCGGCCTCCTCAGCGGCCAGCTCTGGAGTCGCCGGCGCGCCCGGGTACTCGTAGATCCGGTGGTGCTTCTGACGCTTGAAACTCACAGACTTCCGCAGATCCTGGCGGAGGGCGACAGGACGCGGCTCAGAATCACATACAACATAAACACACAGCATACACAGACACAGTGCACAGTGCACACAGACTTCCGCGGCCTAACGCGGCTCACAATCACACAAAGGTACGTACACCGAATTCCACGGGTTCCGAAAGGGGAGAGGGGTATGCGTGACAATGTTCAGAATCGTCCGCACAATACCTCCGCTCCACTTAAATTATCGAACTGCGTGCAGACTCACAGGAGCTCAGCCATCTTCACCAGCATGAGGAGAGAAAATTGACCTTTCGACCGCACGTCTTTACTGTACCCCCCCCCCCCATCCACTGACCGATTTGTGCCCCCCACTGACCGATCTGTGCCCCCCACTGACCGATCTGTGCCCCCCCCCCCCACTGACCGATTTGCGCTCGGGCGACCGGAGCAGGCCGTGGCCGGGCTCCAGGTCCTGCTGCCACACGCTCGGAGTAAACTCCTCCTCTCCCGACTCTGACTCCGAGTCAGACCCCGAGTCGGAGTCAGAGTCGGAGCCGGCGCCGGCCTCTGCCGCCGCCCGGTCCGCGCCGTCCTGGAAAATAGCGAGAGCTGACATATTCTACACTGGAAAATATGCATTGTTTATCGTTCTCGTCATCAAATGTCATATGTTAAAAACAAAAGGCGTGGTATGAAAGCGGAATAGTGCCTTTAACTCGCCGCTAATTTTGGCTGCCCCACAGATCTCTATCTCTCCCGGGCTATTCGTAATTTCGTATCTCCCCCGTTCACAGAGAACAGACTCCCCAACCATCTCTACCCCGCTGACACAGACTACCCTACCATCTCTATCCCGCTGACACAGACTCCCCTGACCGACTCCCCAGTCACACAGACTCCTCTGACGGACTCCCCGGTCACACAGCCTCCCGCTGACAGCTAACACAGCCTCCCCGCTCCCCTAAGTCTCACCTGCCAGACGAACTCGCCGCTGGTGGAGCTCAGGCCGTCCTCCTCGTCGTCGTCCGGCTCCCAGTCGGGCGTGTAGCGGCCGCCGGCCGGATCGTCCGCCTGCGCCACCCCCCACTGGTCGTTCAGCCGGCGCAGCCGCTCGGCGCGCTCGGCTCGCCCCTCCTCGCCCTCTGCCTCGCCGTACTCCTCATTGATGAGTCGCAGCCGGTCTCGCAGCGCCAGCGCGTCGGCCGCCGACCACGGCGAGTCGTCCTCCAGGAACGCCGCCTCGGGGCTCCAGCGCGACTCCTGCGGCCCGGCGGCGCCCTCCTGCTCCTCCTCCTGGTCCTGCTGCTCGGCGGCGGCGGCGGCGGCGGGGTCCTCTGGGGACCGGACCGCGCCGGCGGCCGGCGGCGGGCGAGCGCCCGGCGCCGGCCGGCCCGGACGCTCCAGGCGCTCAAACACCACACCGTCCTCGTCGTACTCTATCTCCGGGGCGGCGTCCGGCTCCGGCAGCGGCCCGGAGTTTACGGCGGTGTCCGGCTCCAGCCGCAGCCCGGAGTTTACGGCGGTGTCCGGCTCCGGCCGCAGTCGCCGCTCAGAGTCCCGCTCGCACTGTACACCGGGCACGGGTCGGTGCGGCCGCTCCAGCACGTCCCCGCTCTCGTCCAGGCCGAGCTCTCCCGGCCCGCGGCCGTCCCCTCCCTCCCCCTCACTCGCTGCCCCGGCGCCAGTCACAGCGGCCGCCCCGGCGCCACGGGACACTTCCTCGCCGTCAGTGGCATCTACCACCAGTCTTTTATCTCCACTGCGCTCAGTAACGTCACTATGTTCACCTTCTTTCCTCTTGTCACGTCTATCACCCCACTCCATCTCCCCACCCCCTCCGTCCCGCTCCCCCGGCAGCTCCGGGCCGCGGCCCCTCAGTGTGCAGGCGCTCGCGTCGCCCAGTGGCCACGGCCGGCCGGCCGGGCTCGGCTCGTCGTCCTCGTCCGAGGAGAGGCTGTCGGCGGGCTCTCCGAACCGGCGCACGTCGTCGTAGGTCGGAATGGAGGCGTCCAGAGCCAGCTCCTCGGCCGTCAGCGCCGCAGACTCCGCCGCAGACTCCGCCGGGGGCGGGGGCGGGGGCGGGGGCGGGGGCGGGCCGGCGGTCACCGGCAGCGAGCGGCGGCGCTCCGCCTGCGGCAGGGCGCAGACAGACAGGGTCAGAGGGGAGAGAGGGACCGCTCCGCCTGTCACAGGGCGCAGACAGACAGGGTCAGAGGGGAGAGAGGGACCGCTCCGCCTGCGGCAGGGCGCAGACAGACAGGGTCAGAGGGGAGAGAGGGACCGCTCCGCCTGCGGCAGGGCGCAGACAGACAGGGTCAGAGGGGAGAGAGGGACCGCTCCGCCTGCGGCAGGGCGCAGACAGACAGGGTCAGAGGGGAGAGAGGGACCGCTCCGCCTGCGGCAGGGCGCAGACAGACAGGGTCAGAGGGGAGAGAGGGACCGCTCCGCCTGCGGCAGGGCGCAGACAGACAGGGTCAGAGGGGAGAGAGGGACCGCTCCGCCTGTCACGGGGCGCAGACAGACAGGGTCAGAGGGGAGAGAGGGACCGCTCCGCCTGTCACAGGGCGCAGACAGACAGGGTCAGAGGGGAGAGAGGGACCGCTCCGCCTGCGGCAGGGCGCAGACAGGCAGGGTCAGAGGGGAGAGAGGGACCGCTCCGCCTGTCACGGGGCGCAGACAGACAGGGTCAGAGGGGAGAGAGGGACCGCTCCGCCTGTCACGGGGCGCAGACAGACAGGGTCAGAGGGGAGAGAGGGACCGCTCCGCCTGTCACGGGGCGCAGACAGACAGGGTCAGAGGGGAGAGAGGGACCGCTCCGCCTGTCACGGGGCGCAGACAGACAGGGTCAGAGGGGAGAGAGGGACCGCTCCGCCTGTCACAGGGCGCAGACAGACAGGGTCAGAGGGGAGAGAGGGACCGCTCCGCCTGTCACAGGGTGCAGACACACAGGGTCAGAGGGAGAGAGGGACCGCTCCGCCTGTCACAGGGCGCAGACACACAGGGTCAGAGGGGAAAGGGTGAGGGGGGAGCTGGTCTGCCTCACAGACAGGGACAGGGAAGGAGGGAAATCGGTTCGGCGCCGCTCGGCCTCCTTCACTTCATTATGCAGGATAAAACAATCAAACTGTAACCACAAACATTCCTGAATCGTTAAAACAAAAGCCGGAGCCTTTTTGTTCTTAGGACAGGTCTTCGGCCAGCGAAACACCAGACAATACGCATTCCATTAATCCCATTGGCACTCCCCCATATGGTGACTTTGCGGTACACCTCCCCATATTCCGCACCTTGTGGTAGATCTCGCCGTGGCTGAGGACGTGGTAGCCGGCGAGCGGCGGCAGTGAGGCCGGCTGTCCGTGGTCCGCCTCTCGGTCCCTGTCCGGTACCGCCGCGCCCTCCCCGGGCGCCGGGTACTGCCAGTCGGCCGGCTGCTCGGCGCCGGCGCCCTCCCAGCCAGCCGCGCCGGCCGCGCCGCCCGCCAGGTCATAGGAGGCCACCGAGCGGGTCAGACCGGCAGCCGGACCCGGCCCGAGCCCCGGCCCGGTCACATCGACCGGCAGGCTCTCGTAGTCCCCTGAGGGAGGGGAGGAGCGGTGTTAGGAGCGGGTCACACCGCCCCCGGCCCGGTCACATCAACTGGCAGGCTCTCGTAGTCCCCTGAGGGAGGGGAGGGGTGTTAGGAGCGGGTCACACCACCCCCGGCCCGGTCACATCGACCGGCAGGCTCTCGTAGTCCCCTGAGGGAGGACGGGAGGGTGTTAGGAGCGGGTCACACCACCCCCGGCCCGGTCACATCGACCGGCAGGCTCTCGTAGTCTCCTGAGGGAGGACGGGAGGGGTGTTAGGAGCGGGTCACACCACCCCCGGCCCGGTCACATCGACCGGCAGGCTCTCGTAGTCCCCTGAGGGAGGGGAGGGGTGTTAGGAGCGGGTCACACCACCCCCGGCCCGGTCACATCGACCGGCAGGCTCTCGTAGTCCCCTGAGGGAGGACGGGAGGGTGTTAGGAGCGGGTCACACCACCCCCGGCCCGGTCACATCGACTGGCAGGCTCTCGTAGTCCCCTGAGGGAGGGGAGGGGTGTTAGGAGCGGGTCACACCACCCCCGGCCCGGTCACATCGACCGGCAGGCTCTCGTAGTCCCCTGAGGGAGGACGGGAGGGTGTTAGGAGCGGGTCACACCACCCCCGGCCCGGTCACATCGACCGGCAGGCTCTCGTAGTCTCCTGAGGGAGGACGGGAGGGGTGTTAGGAGCGGGTCACACCACCCCCGGCCCGGTCACATCGACCGGCAGGCTCTCGTAGTCCCCTGAGGGAGGACGGGAGGGTGTTAGGAGCGGGTCACACCACCCCCGGCCCGGTCACATCGACCGGCAGGCTCTCGTAGTCCCCTGAGGGGGGGAGGGGTGTAAGGAGCGGGTCACACCACCCCCGGCCCGGTCACATCGACCGGCAGGCTCTCGTAGTCCCCTGAGGGAGGACGGGAGGGGTGTTAGGAGCGGGTCACACCACCCCCGGCCCGGTCACATCGACCGGCAGGCTCTCGTAGTCCCCTGAGGGAGGACGGGAGGGGTGTTAGGAGCGGGTCACACCACCCCCGGCCCGGTCACATCGACCGGCAGGCTCTCGTAGTCCCCTGAGGGAGGACGGGAGGGTGTTAGGAGCGGGTCACACCACCCCCGGCCCGGTCACATCGACCGGCAGGCTCTCGTAGTCCCCTGAGGGAGGGGAGGGAAGGGTGTTAGGAGCGGGTCACACCACCCCCGGCCCGGTCACATCGACCGGCAGGCTCTCGTAGTCCCCTGAGGGAGGACGGGAGGGTGTTAGGAGCGGGTCACACCACCCCCGGCCCGGTCACATCGACCGGCAGGCTCTCGTAGTCCCCTGAGGGAGGACGGGAGGGTGTTAGGAGCGGGTCACTCTCATTATGGGAGGGACGAGCATTCACTGTTCACAGCCGGTATGTCGAGATTAGATGATATACTGCCCGGTGTGACGCCGCGAGCAATATGGTCAGAATAAACGACACTGGCGTCACGGACCTAGAACCACGCGGCGAACAGATCAGCTGCAGCCCACAGCGCTGAGGGGATGGGACGAACCAGGAGGCTGTCAACGGCACTGCAGTCATTGACGCCACCAATACCGTGCAATATTCCATCCATGCATCGTTGCAAGTGAACACTGAACAATAACATATAACTACGGTGTATTTACAAAATAGTGCTCTTTAGACCATTAAGTTACATGTTACAAAAAGTGCATACATATCATGCCTTGTGCGTTGCTGCAAGGTTGTGCTACTAGCAACCAGTCACCCTCCTGACAAATAGTGCCGTAAGCAGCAATGTGCCAAACCAAGAACGATCCCCACTTCACTCAAGCAGTCCCAGTTCGTTCGTCTCATCTCTCCCCACCGAGTTCCGCTGACTCCAGGCACACGCCGCGGCGCCGGGCGGCCGTATATCTTACCTTCATAGTCGGACTCGTCTCCGACTGCGCTGCCGACTGCCGCGGCCGAGGGCGACTCGCCCTCCGCCCACGGGTCGGTGCCGCGCCGCTCCTCCTCCCGCGGCGGTGGCGGCGCGGGCTCGGCGCGCGGCACGAAGGCCAGGTGGGCGCGCGGCCGGCCGCCGGCCACCAGGCGCGCCTCCAGAGACTCCGTGTCCACCTCGAGCACGTCCGAGGCCTCCGAGTCGGAGAGCGGCTCCGGCGGCGGGCCGGCCGGCGCCGCGCCGCCGCCGGCCGCCGGCCACTCCAGGTCCGTCAGCTGCAGCGCCGCGCCGCCGCGCGCCGACCGCGGCACCTGCGACTCCACCCGGCCCTCCGCCACAGGGGCCGGCGGCCGGGACTGAGTCTCCGCCCGGTCCTCTGCCACAGGGGCGGACGGTCGTGACTCGGCAGAGCTGGCCAGTGCCCTCAGCTCGGCCACCAGCGCCGCCGAGACGGGCCGACGGGTGGCGGCGGCCGGCTCCGGCTCCGGGCCGCCGCTCCCGGACACGGCGGCAGTCCCGGTCCCGGACTCCACTCCTCCCAGGCTGGCCGTGGCCGCGTCACCGGCGGTCGGCTCCTCGGCGGTCAGACTGGAGTAGACGTCCCCCACGCCCGGGATCAGAATGGCCCCCTCCGCGGAGGCCGCCCGCAGTTTCCTGGGCACGGTGACCGGCTCGTCCAGTCGGAACTCGATCCGAGCCGGTTTGGTCGGCTCCGCGTTGAGGCCGCCCTTGGACCCCGGCTGGGGCGGGGCGGACAGACTGCCGTCCTCTATGATATCCTTCTCCGTCGACGAGTCCCGTTCATGTGCCTCAGTGTTTCCGTTTTGACGCGGTCCGACCTCCTCCGAGGTGTCCTCAGCCACACCAACTGGGGGAGGCCCGCCGTCCGCCGGCTGTACTGCTCCGTCACCATCACCATAGACACCAGCATCGTCACCAGACAGCGGCTCACCAGTCACCAGGTCACCACCGAGGCCCGCTGCCGGCCGTCCGCCGTCCACCGCGCGGTCCGCCCCTGCCGGCCGACTGTCAGTGGCTCCCCCAGTCACTCCCAGCCCGTTCTGTAGCCGCTCGACACTCCGCTGGGAGACCGCCACCGCCTCCGTCCGGTCGGGGGTGTCCTCGGCGGAGCCGGCGCCCTCAGGGACGTGACTAACCCCCGAGAGGCCGCCGGCCGCCGGCGGGCCCGAGTCCTGGGAGCCGTCCGGCTCGCCGCGCGAACTCAGCACGTCAGCGGGGCCCGGGAGGTCAGCGGACCCCCTCAGCTGCTCGGTGGCCGGGAGGTCAGCGGACACCCTCAGCTGCTCGGTGTCCGGGAGGTCAGCGGACGCCCTCAGCTGCTCGGGGCCGGCCGGGAGGTCAGCGGACGCCCTCAGCTGCTCGGGGCCGGCCGGGAGGTCAGCGGACACCCTCTGCTGCTCGGGGACGGCCGGCGCCGCGGCCGCCGGGTGGGCCGGTGCGGCCGCGCCCGCTGCCTGCCGGTCCGCGGCCGGTGTGAGCTCCGTCCACTGCCGGTCTGGGCTCGGTGTGGGCTCTGTCCACTGCCGGTCCGCGGTCGGTGTGGTCTCCGTCCACTGCCGGTCTGGGCTCGGTGTGGGCTCTGTCCACTGCCGGTCCGCGGTCGGTGTGGGCTCCGTCCACTGCCGGTCTGGGCTCGGTGTGGGCTCCGTCCGCTCCGGGGGACGGCTGGCAGCTGTCTCAGTCGCCGGCGGTCCGCACCCTCCCCCCGGCCGCTCGGTGTCCGACTGGACACCGGCCGGGTCCGGTGTGGGGGAGGCCGGGTCCGGCTGGACACCGGCCGGGTCCGGCTGGACACCGGCCGGGTCCGGCCGGGCCACCGCCCGCCGCTCTTGGCCTGCGTCACACGGCCGGATCTCCACCTGGCGGCGGGAGCGGGAACTGATCACACAAGCCCGCGGTTCGCCGTTCGATTGCAGTCCGACCAGGTCCCGGCGGTCATACCTCCTATGTTTCCCCCATAGGTTTTAGCGCCCATAGCATCACTCTCATGTCACATTTTACAACTTGGACCGCCTTTGAGCAGTAGCTAACATAGTCTCTCTTTCAAACAAAAGACAAACACCGGCTAAAGCGGAACGGCTAGCTTCGGCAGTACTGAGACGCTGATCAGTGACGCTAGTGGTGTTTTAATTTGATTTTGCTAGTGATATTCTAAGTCACAAAACAATTATGAACCGTTAAGCTAATCCAAACAGAAGTGCATGAGACAGTATCATAAAACAGCTTGGTGGTGAATGAAGAATGAAAGCGCAGTAGAAAGAAGAACCGTTTTATTCATCACAAGTGGCGGCAACAGCAGAAGCCGCCAAAGCATCCCGCTTTGACCAAGACATAGATAAAGGGAAAGAAGCATGACCCCCGCCGCTGCCCTACACGTCCCACACAGCGAGAGCCCAACAGCCTACTCCGGACAGAGGTGAGAGCCGAACAGACCACTGCACATAGAGACAGGCGGTGGGAGGCGGACTAAGGGGTCGCGGCGGCGCTACATCTCCCGCGGGCAGTCGCTATACTGTCTGTCGGCTCAGAGTTCGGCTCACCCAGCCACCGGCCGGCGGCCGCCGCCTGTACCCCGTCCCCGGCGCACCGACCGGCGCCACTGACCTCGACAAAGGTGTCCTCGTGCTCCCTCCAGCTGTCGGGGATGTGGTCCTCCTCCAGTGGCGCGTCCTCCTGGTCCTGGTCCTGGTCCTCGGCCTCCTCGCGGATGGTCTCCAGGCCGGGGACCGCCGGCCGGCAGACCATCCCCACCTCCTCCTCCTCCTGCTCTCTCTGCTCCTCCTCCTCCTGCTCCTGCTCTGCCCCGGCCGGGTCGGGCAGCGCTCGCCGCAGCTCGGCGCGGATCGCCGCGAACGCCGCCTCCTCGTCGCTGGGTATCAGTTCCAGCTCCAGGCCGCCCGGCTCCAGTTCCAGCTCCAGCTCCAGCTGCAGCGGGTCGAAGGCGGCGCCGGGACTCTCCCCGGACGGGACCAGCGGGTCGAAGCCGCCGCTGCCGTGGCGGCCGTGCCGAGACGCCGGCTCCGCGCCGTCCGCCGGCTCGGCGGCGCCCTCGAGGAACATGGAGCGGTAGTTTTTCTGCGGCGACTGGCGGCGGGCCGCCTCCACCAGCGCCTGGGTGTGCTCGGTGGCCAGCCGGAGCCCGGCCCACAGCTCCTCGCCCTCCCCTGCCGGGGCGCCGCGGCCGGCCCACAGCTCCTCACCCTCCCCTGCCGGGGCGCCGCGGCCGGCCCACGGCTCGACCTCGCCCTCCCCGGCGGAGGGGCCGCGGCCGGCCCACGGCTCCTCGCCCTCCCCGGCGGAGGGGCCGCCGTCGGCCCACAGCTCCTCGCCCTCCCCGGCGGAGGGGCCGCCGTCGGTCCACAGCCCGGGCCGCTCCTCAGCTTCAGACAGCTCTCCGTCCGCCGAGGCGCCGAGCTCCGACTGCAGCTGGTACTTTGAGCCGGGGCCGGCGGCGGCAGGCACCGGCTGGGGACTGTCATCAGCCAGCGCGTCCACCGCTCCGCCAGAGTCGGCGCACAACGCGTACTTGTGACTGGAATCTCCGGTATTAGACGTCACTGGGGCTGCAGGAGCGGTTACAGCAGTGTCTGTGGCAGCGCCGTCTCCAGTGCCGACTGCATCCGCGCCTCCCGGGCCAGCCGGCCGGGCGGCGTCCCACGCGGCCGGCGACATCTCCAGCTCTCCAGGGGTGAGCTCGAAGCCGCCGCTGCCGTCCAGGCTGGTTAGGGTATCGTCCTGTGGCTCCGCGCCACCCGGTACCGGTACACACTCTGACAGGGTATCGTTCTGTGGCTCCGCGCCGCCCGATACCGGTACAGGCTCTGACAGGGTATCGTCCTGTGGCTCCGGGCCGCCCGGTACCGGTACAGGCTCTGACAGGGTATCGTCCTGTGGCTCCGCGCCGCCCGGTACCGGTACAGGCTCTGACAGGGTATCGTCCTGTGGCTCCGCGCCGCCCGGTACCGGTACAGGCTCTGACAGGGTATCGTCCTGTGGCTCCGCGCCGCCCGGTACCGGTACAGGCTCTGACAGGGTATCGTCCTGTGGCTCCGGGCCGCCCGGTACCGGTACAGGCTCTGACAGGGTATCGTCCTGTGGCTCCGGGCCGCCCGGTACCGGTACAGGCTCTGACAGGGTATCGTCCTGCGGCTCCGCGCCGCCCGGTACCGGTACAGGCTCTGACAGGGTATCGTCCTGTGGCTCCGCGCCGCCCGGTACCGGTACAGACTCTGACAGGGTATCGTCCTGTGGCTCCGCGCCGCCCGGTACCGGTACAGGCTCTGACAGGGTATCGTCCTGTGGCTCCGGGCCGCCCGGTACCGGTACAGGCTCTGACAGGGTATCGTCCTGTGGCTCCGGGCCGCCCGGTACCGGTACAGGCTCTGACAGGGTATCGTCCTGTGGCTCCGGGACGCCCGGTACCGGTACAGGCTCTGACAGGGTATCGTCCTGCCGCTCCGCGCCGCCCGGTACCGGTACAGGCTCTGACGGGGTATCGTCCTGCCGCTCCGCGCCGCCCGGCACCGGTACAGGCTCTGACAGGGTATCGTCCTGCCGCTCCGGGCAGCCCGGCACCGGTACAGGCTCTGACAGGGTATCGTCCTGCCGCTCCGCGCCGCCCGGCACAGACAAAGGATCCGATATAGGTCCTTCAGGCAGCGGTGCGGACTCTGATGCTGGTCCTTCAGACAATGTCAAGAGCGGCGCTCCGTCCCCCACGGCGCCGTCCAAGGTTTCTTTTGTCGGGGTTTCATTCGCGCTCACCATGGGGCTGTCTGCGAGGGCCAGAAGATCAGAGAGGGAGAAGTCTGCAGTCGAGGCAGGCTGTTCAGACGGCAGACCGGATGGCTCCGACGGCAGTGTGAGCTGTTCCCAGGCCACAGCGGATGGTTCCGAGGGCAGATTGGATGGCTCCGAGGGCAGAGTGAGCTCTTCTGATGTCAGTGCGGACTGTTCTGAGGGCAGAGTGAGCTCTTGTGATGTCAGTGCGGACTGCTCCGAGGGCAGAGTGGACGGCCCTGAGGCCGCCGAGCTCAGCCCCGTGGACGCGCGCAGCAGATCCACAGACAGTTCACTGTTCAGAGCCGGCACATCCACGGGCGCGGCAGTATCGGGCTTCGACTGGTCCGGGTCAGCAGACACAGCCTCTTTGGGCGACACCGGGTCCCACAGCAGTAGCGTATTACCCGCGCCAGCCGACGTAGGTATATCGGGAATATCACTCTCCAAACAAACGGACCCTTCGGCCGAGAGAAGTGCCACAACAGGCGCAGACGCTTCCCCAGACTTGGAGTCTAACAGAGGACGAGTCGGCTTTGAGATCTTGTCTTCAAGGCTGCCGTTTTCCAAACTGACCAACACTTGTTCATTTGGCAGAGACGCAACAGGAATGACTAGATTTTCCTCTAATACGGCAGAGTTGTCCCCGGAGAGCTCGCTCTCTGTCCCTGCTCCGGCCAGCTGCGCAGGGATCGTCCCTTCACTCTCCGCTACAGACGCTTCTCCACTCGCTGCTCCGGTCAGCGCTGGGGCCGTCCCTTCACTCCCGGCTCCGGCCGGCCCTTCACTCCCTGCTCCCGCCGCCGCCGGGGTCCGGTCAGCCGGCCCGGCAGCCGCTCCGTCCGCTATGCCGCCGCCGGCGGGCCCCGCGCGGCCCGGCGCCGCCTCGATCACAGTGATGACGTCTGCCGAGGGCCGGCGGTCGGGCCGCAGCGGCGAGCCGGCCGGCTCCTCGGCCGAGCCCCACAGCTTGCTGGGCGCCAGCTCGGCGCGCGAGCACAGCGAGCGCACCTCCTCCTCGTCCGGCAGCTCGGCCAGCTCGTCACACGTGCTGTGGCCGAACGTCGAGCTGAGCGACGGACTGCGCGCCGGCGAGTCAGGCTCGGCCAGCGGCGCCTTGTCGGCCGCGCCGGCGCACGGCCGGGGCACGTCGCCGCCGCCGCCGGCCGCCTCGCGGCGCAGGCTGGCCATGTCCAGCTCGTCGTCCCCGTCGTCGGCCAGCAGGGCGGCGTGGCAGCCCGGCTCGCTGCCGGCGCTGAGGTCGTCGCCGGCCAGCGGCGCGTAGGCCGGCGCCGAGTGGCGGCTGCCCATCAGCGTGTCGGCAGAGGCGTCCGGCTGAGTCTCGACGGCCGTCTGGTAGGCCGAGCCGATGTACTCGTTGAAGGAGGGACTGCGCCGGCCGCGCGGTGTGCTGGTCAGTCGCAGGCCGCGCCTCCCCGACAGGTCTCCGTCCCCGGCGGCACACGAGTCGGTCACACTGTCCCCGGCCGGGCCATCCACAGCGCTCAGCTCTGCGGCCAGCGTGCTGTCGGCGGCAGTGAAGTACTCGCTGGTCGCAGCGGCGCTCAGCTCCGCGCCCAGGTCCGCACTCTCACCGGCATCACTCGCCAAACACCCCTCACAGTTCGTCTCAGAATCTGACGCCAGCTTACTGCTGCCGTCACTGTTCTCATTTAAAACGAACCTGAAAGCACGGGGCTCAGTGGCTGGGGGCTCCTCCGTTTGCGAGCTCTGCAGGGACTGCTGGCCGGTTTCGGGCTGTCGGGGCGGCGTGGCCTCTGTCAGACAGAGCTGCGGCACCGCATGCGGCGTGCGGGGCGCTGCGGCCGTCCCTCCACCCGCGCCGACCTCCTCCGGCGGCGGCTCGCCGCTGCCGTCTCCGAGGGCCCCAGCACCGCCACCGCCACCAGCCGGGAAACCGCCGCCGGCGGCCGGCCGCTCCGGCAGACATGCAGAGGCCGCGGGCGCCGACAGCGCCGGCCCGCGCGCCGCTCCCTCCACCAGCGGCCGCTGGGCCCGTGTACTCACAGAGGACTCCGGCTCCGGCTCCGGCTCTCGGGCCGGCTCCGGGTCACTGTCGGCCCGCTCGCTGCCGTACTCCAGGCTGTCCAGCGGCGCCGTCAGCGTCAGGAAGTCCTGCACGCTGCGCGACTGTTCGCGCGCCAGCCGGCCGTCGCCGCTGCCGGCGCTCTGTCCGTCCGGGTCCTCTGCCGGCGGCGGGTGGTCGCCGGCCGCGGGCCCGCCGCCGGCGCCCGGCGCCGCCGGCTCCTCGGCCGCCAGCATCCTGTCCAGGCTGCGCAGCGCGTCGTGCAGCTCCGAGTCCAGACTGGCCGGCTCCGGGGACTCAGAGTCGGAGCCGCCGTCGGCACGGCCGCGCGGCCGCAGCGCCTCCCACCTGCGGACAGCGGGGGAGGGGGGGGGGACAGATTGTCAGACGGAGTTGGGGTCTGGAGCCGTATCCCACCACACAATCGCTCTGCCTCTCCACTCCTCCGCTCTGCCTCCCGCCCCTCGGCTCTGCCTCTCCGCCTCCCCACTCCTCCACTCTGCCCCCTGCCCCTCTCCTCTACCCCCGGCTGCTCACCTCTCCTCGAAGTCGTCCCTGGGCGGCGCCGTGAGCTGCGAGAGCAGCGCGTGGATGCGGTGCACGGTGGGCCGCTGGCCGGGCGGCAGCCAGCAGAGCTGCATCACGTGGTACCTGGCACACACACAGCGGGCGTCACGTGGTACCTGGGACACACAGCGGGCGTCAGTACAGCTGTGTCACGTGGTACCTGGCACACACACAGCGGGCGTCAGTACAGCTGTGTCACGTGGTACCTGGCACACACAGCGGGCGTCAGTACAGCTGTGTCACGTGGTACCTGGGACACAGTACAGCGGGCGTCAGTACAGCTGTGTCACGTGGTACCTGGGACACAGTACAGCGGGCGTCAGTACAGCTGTGTCACGTGGTACCTGGGACACACACAGCGGGCGTCAGTACAGCTGTGTCACGTGGTACCTGACACACAAAGCGGGCGTCACGTGGTACCTGGGACACACACAGCGGGCGTCACGTGGTACCTGGGACACACACAGCGGTCAGAATGGCACTGGAACGCGCGCCAAGCTTCCTCTTGTCACCTTTATATTGGCAATGACATGAAACTGCGGCCATCCACAGACTCGTTGACAGAACCCAGCAAATGATGCAACTCATAATGATGTAATTGGTTCACATACTGTACACAGTGGACAACCCTGCCACATGGAAACCTCTTCCGGCCGCACGCGGTGCCACTCACATTCTGTCCGTGGGCGGCTGTATGTACTGTCCGTGGGCGGCTGTATGTGCTGTCCGTGGGCGGCTGTATGTACTGTCCGTGGGCGGCTGTATGTGCTGTCCGTGGGCGGCTGTACTATTCGTGGGCGGCTCTATGTACTCACATTCTGTCCGTGGGCGGCTGTATGTACTGTCTGTGGGCGGCTGTATGTGCTGTCCGTGGGCGGCTGTATGTACTGTCCGTGGGCGGCTGTATGTACTGTCCGTGGGCGGCTGTGCTGTCCGTGGGCGGCAACATGTACAGTAGGTCTACAAAATAAGTTCTCTCCGTATGCGGGTCACCAGTGGGCAGTTAGCGCCTGAGCGCTACTCGGGCGCCTTCTGCCCGGATACGGAGATGACTTATTTTGTAGACCTGCTGTACTGTCCGACGTCCGTGGGCGGCTGCATGTACTCACATTCTGTCCGTGTGCGGCGATCCGGTGCTCAGTTTGGGCCGCGACAGCTGCACGTTTCTGTCCATCACCACGTGCTGGATGACGTCATCGTCCGAGAGCGGCGCGTAAGGCAGCGCCGCGAACGCCAGCAGCTCCCACATCAGCACCCCCAGCGACCACACGTTCGACGCCTTGGTCACCTGCAGCGGGGGAGGGGGGGGGGGGGCAGGTCAGGCCCGCGCCATACACGGCGGGTACGTCACACAATCTACGGCACACAGCCCACAGCCTGCGGGTACGACACAGAAACTACGCCAGGCGCGGGAAGGTCGTTGTTGGGTCGTTAGAGGTAATTGGCGTAAAACAGGGCTCCCGATCACGCGACGAGGCGTTGCCATGGGAACGGCCGGCGTCTCAATGAGGGCCATCACCGCCTGGCACCGCTCTGGTCCGGAGCCATGTCGGGAAGGCTGGCTGTCCGAAACACTGCACCGGTCAAAGGCACCACACAATGGAACGAGCAGCACAAATCCATTTCTGGTCCCATAATTGCCTAACGGTTAATTTATCAATCATAATGACTCTTTGAAACAACGACACAATAATAATGTGATTCCTGGACACCCGAACACAAACCTCGCCGCCCCAGCCTTCCCAAAGAGTCGGCAAAGTAGCGTCATTACAGAGCCTATTCTCACCACCCTATTACCATTAGCACGGCACTACGCGCCCATTGCCGAATCATTTGCCGCTGGGCTATCCGGCGTCCCGCCTCCAGATATCCGGCGTCCCGCCTCCAGATATCCGGCGTCCCGCCTCCACATATCCGGCGTCCCGCCTCTAGATATCCGGCGTCCCCCTCCAGAGCCTGTCAACGCCACCACAGCGCCTGCTGGCGCCGGCTAACGCTGCACCAGCGCCTGCTAAGGCCGGCCCACCACACGGCTAACGCTGCACCAGCGCCTGCTAACGCCGGCACACCACACGGCTGACGCTGCTAACGCCGCCGCCGCGTGTCTTTAGGGCCTTGGCCGCCACTATCAACACCCATCGGCCATTAATTCGGGCGACACAGTTAACCCGGATACTCATGATTCAGTTTTAATATAAGTAAAGCAAGTGTAAAGCAGGACATTCTAATATGTAGAAGAGTAAGCAAAATAAGCACCAAGCTGTCCGAATGCTATTGACAATGACTTGTTCCACAGGGCGCTACAGATGAGCTCGGGTTCGGACAGCAGGTACCGCTCCCAGGTGGGTTCAAGTGCTCATTTACGTGACAGGATCCAGCGCGCGTTCCCTCGGGTGCGGCCCACCGACCCACTCTGCGAGTGGCACTCCAAGCCACAGAGCGGAGCCGTCATACAGTGAGGCCGGTCCTTTGACACCGCCGCGGGGCGGGCGACCCGTGACGGCGTCACAGCAGCGGTAAGACGCCGTCACGCGTCACGGGCCGGCCGGCCGGGTCGAGAGGACCCAGCACGGTGAGGTACCCTCCCGACTCGCCTCCTTTTCGGCGAGTTCGGTTCGTACCCCTGGCTCGTCCCCCTGCGTGGCGCGCCCCGGCCCCCGGTCCGCCGTGGTGTGGAGTTGGACGGCCCCCGGTCCGCCGGTGAGCTGTTCGGACGGCCCCGGTCCGCCGGTGAGCTGTTTGGACGGCCCCGGTCCGCCGGTGAGCTGTTTGGACGGCCCCGGTGAGCTGTTCGGACGGCCCCGGCCCGCCGGTGAGCTGTTTGGACGGCCCCGGTGAGCTGTTTGGACGGCCCCCGGTCCGCCGGTGAGCTGTTCGGACGGCCCCGGTCCGCCGGTGAGCTGTTCGGACGGCCCCGGTGAGCTGTTTGGACGGCCCCGGTCCGCCGGTGGGCTGTTTGGACGGTCTGGTGGTCCGCCGGTGAGCTGTTTGGACGGCCCCGGCCCGCCGCGCCGGTGAGCTGTTCAGACGGCCCCGGTCCGCCGGTGAGCTGTTCGGACGGCCCCGGTGAGCTGTTTGGACGGCCCCGGTCCGCCGTGGTGTGGACGGTCTGCCGGTCCGCCGGTGGGCTGTTTGGACGGCCCCGGTGAGCTGTTTGGACGGCCCCGGTGAGCTGTTTGGACGGCCCCGGCCCGCCGGTGAGCTGTTTGGACGGCCCCCGGTCCGCCGGTGAGTTGTTTGGACGGCCCCGGTGAGCTGTTTGGACGGCCCCCGGTCCGCCGGCGCGGTGAGCTGTTCGGACGGCCCCCGGTCCGCCGGTGAGTTGTTTGGACGGCCCCGGTGAGCTGTTTGGACGGCCCCGGTCCGCCGGTGAGCTGTTTGGACGGCCCCGGTCCGCCGGTGAGCTGTTTGGACGGCCCCGGTCCGCCGGTGAGCTGTTTGGACGGCCCCGGTCCGCCGGTGAGCTGTTTGGACGGCCCCGGCCCCCCGGTGAGCTGTTTGGACGGCCCCCGGTCCGCCGGTGAGCTGTTTGGACGGCTCCGGTGAGCTGTTTGGACGGCCCCGGTCCGCTGGTGAGCTGTTTGGACACCCCCGGTCCGCCGGTGAGCTGTTTGGACGGCCCCGGTCCGCCGGTGAGCTGTTCGGACGGCCCCGGTCCGCCGGTGAGCTGTTTGGACGGCCCGGTCCGCCGGTGAGCTGTTTGGACGGCCCCGGTGAGCTGTTCGGACGGCCCCGGTGAGCTGTTTGGACGGCCCCCGGTCCGCCGGTGAGCTGTTTGGACGCCCCCGGTGAGCTGTTTGGACGGCCCCGGTGAACTGTTTGGACGCCCCCGGTCCGCCGGTGAGCTGTTTGGACGGCCCCGGTGAGCTGTTTGGACGGCCCCGGTGAGCTGTTTGGACGGCCCCCGGTCCGCAGTGGTGGTCAGCCGTTTGGACGGTCCAGCGGCGGCAGAACACATCAATAATGTGCACCGATCGACCGGTCTGCACCTCCACGGAGCGGGCGCCGCCGGGCCGGCCCGGCCGACTCACCACTCCGGGGGGACCGGGCGCCGCCGCAGGCCGGGCCCGGCCGACTCACCACTCCGGGGACCGGGCGCCGCCGCCGTTCGGCCGACTCACCACTCCGCGGGGACCGGGCTCCGAGAGCCGCCGGGGCGGGACGGGGAGGTCAGCGGGGGAGGGGTGACACAAATCAGCCGCGCTGGGAATATAGGTGGGAAGGCGTCTTATCTCTGTGGGGAGGGAAACAACACATGTCGACACTTTCTTTTAAAACTGATACAACACGGTAGTCACTCCGCCGCGGTGGGGTGGGGAAGGGACCGTGGGTTGGGGAGGGGAGTCTCAGCGGGGCAGCGGTACTGACTCAGCCGCCCGAGGGGGGGGGGGGGGGGGGGGCTGACGCACCGGTCACCGCCATTGCAACGGTGACAGAGGATGACTGGAGCTGAAATCCACACACCACAGGTCATAGCGTAAATCAGTTGTGTCCAGGGCAGCATTAGGGCAGTAAATTAGCTGTGTCCAGGGCAGCATTAAGGCAGCTTTATCGTCAAGTTTTACCGTAAAACAATTTACAATAATAGCACTACCATCTCACAACGCCCCCTTCGTCATCCCCTAGCATCAAACATTCTACATCCTACAATAAATTGCATGCTTTTCGTCGTTTATCACTCTTTTTGGATCTAATCGAATCAGCAGTTTTCCACTCTCTCCCCTCTTTTTGGTGGGTAATTTTTCCCTCCGACACCCAAGACAAAACTCAATTTTGGGACACTGTCTCTCCATCTGCCCACTCTCACCTCTTTGGTCTCGATGGTGGTGGGCGTGCACTCGAGTATTTCGGGCGCGCACCACCGCACCGGCAGGGCCACGTCACCGGCGATATAGTAGTCTTCCTGGGAACACAGACCCAGCGGTCAGCGGTCAGTGGTCAGCGGTCAGATACTGGTCAGAGGTCAGAGGTCAGTGGTGGTCGGCACAGTTGTGGATACTCTACAGGTTCTCCGAAAGATGGGCTGATCAGAAGATATTAGGCCGGTCATCAGCACAGGGCCAATGGCCCATTGCAGACTGAATCGTGGTGGAGTTATCGTACCATGATACGCATACAAGAACAGGTATACATATAGCCCACCTGTCAGTAAAGTACCATCCCAGCTGTTCCCACCCAGTGCTCTATATATTGGGCCCTGATCATTTAGTTAGTTCTTCAATAGCTGGTGGATGAGGCTGGGAAAGTTCAGGGCTGCTCCGCTATAAATAATACGGGAACACGGTGCAATGCAGGGACACGTCCCACTATTAGTTAACAGGTCAGCACGGCAGCGCTGGTGCAGGCGCCGTCCCCACTCCATCTATTGTCACATTTCTTTACCCGAACAGACCCAGACACGAGTTCTGGGATGGCCCCACAACCCCAACTAATTCTCTCTCCTTTTTAAAAGCTCAGCAGGACCATTCGACCAAGCGCTGCTCTTGGCGGCGCTAATCTACCCATCGCCATTAGAGGTGGACCATCAGGGAACCCCTGACCCGCTGCAGACAGTGCCAGCCATTGCTGTGGGGCAGACGGAAAGAGGGCAGGAGAGGAGACAGGAGAGGCAGACGGGGAGAGGGGCGGGGCTGACAGCGGAGGTCGTACCGCCGGCGGGTCATCATGCCGATATGAACGTCAGTCTGTCAGCGGCTCATCGCTGTCGAGATACTTATTATCATAGACAAATGTGCGACAGGTCCCCTTCCTCCGCGTCAACAAAAGCACATCGTCATCAGTGCTGTCCACAGTATTTCCTCGAGTAGCAAGATGGTTTATCATACTCGTGTTTATTATCGATATAAGCTGCATTGGGCTTCCTTTGAGCGCTCTTGAAGAGACTCGCTGCACTGTCTCCTCTCTCCTCTGCCCGGCCTCCCCTCTCTCCTCTCTCTCTCCCTCTCTCATCTGCCCGGTGGCCGGCTGCCACGTTTTCGGCCCCACCCCTCTGCCCTCGTCCGTCGGCCGATAGCCCCCACCCATCCCTGGGACGTATACCAGAGCTCCATTGTGCCACGGCACCGCCGCTGTACCGTAATGTGGATCTGGACACCAGTCAGCCGATCTAGCCGAGGTACTCCGTGGACCAGGCGGACAGACGAGCAGAGTCCAGACAGCTGAGCACCAGGCTAGGCAATCAGACCATACGGACAGACGGACAGACGGCTGGGCGACCAGACGGCGGGGCACCAGGCTAGGTAATCAGACCAGACGGACAGACGGCGGGGCACCAGGCTAGGTAATCAGACCAGACGGACAGACAGCTGAACACCAGGCTAGGTAATCAGACCAGACGGACGGACGGACAGACGGCTGGACGAGCAGAGTCCAGACGGCTGAGCACCAGACTAGGTAATCACACCAGACGGACAGACGGCTGGACGACCAGACGGCTGAGCACCAGGCTAGGTAATCACACCAGACGGACAAACGGCTGGACGAGCAGAGTCCAGACGGCGGGGCACCAGGCTACTGTTAACGCCAGACCCCTTGAGACCCTAATTTTTCGCGATTACTTTTAAATGCGTGAAGGAATTTCAACCAAGCTCAGGACATGGCCGTTTCAAGACAGGCCGAAACTTTTACAATTTAGATATTTTATCGCCATTTCAATATTTCAGGCACTTGTCATTGACTCGTAATGTTAACTGTTTTTCCATCCTGGATAGAGGCTTTCTACGTCATATGACATTAGGCTCCGCCCACGACTGCGGCATTGACCCGTGCCCATCAGCGACCTCTGTACAAACGACACCCCTGCCATCTGTGAAGGACTATGAATTTCGCTGACGCTTCACGTGCTATGAGTCAATTGCAGCAGACGGTCAAGTAAATGCTAGGCTCTTGTTGACTCTTGTATATAGGACCAAGAGGACCATCACTCCTCAACCTACTACTCAGTCGTGCTTTGAACAAACGTTACCGATTCCTAACAAATACGATTTTCGATGTAGGGTATCTGTTTGAAATACGAGCGAGCCGTATGATGTGAAGCTCAGGCAATTAACTTATTATTGCGTTGTTCGATGGTTGCATAGCGATGTACAAATCGGCAGCTACTTGGTGACATCCGACATCCCATTATCGCATTATCTGCAACGCCATAGGCTTTAAATACAGGTGAATATTTCCTAACCTTATGTCAGTTATATGCCATCTGCCCGTCATATGCAGCTTATATAAAAAAAAATATCAGCGAACATATCAGCATTGTAGAAGCAATGCGCATTGAGCATTTATGACTCCTTAGTCATCATGTCGCTCTCTGGGCACTGTCAGCCAAGACGCTACGCACAACTCCGCCGGCTTTCGGCACCGCTCGACCGTCGCCCGTCCCCGCTCCCCGCCACAGCGAGAGTGACCGCGCGCCGGCCCGAAACCGCCGCAGGCCAAGACCACAGAGGCGGGGCTTAGCTGTGACGTCATAACGTATCACAGACTGACTGGTGATAGCCTCTACACACCGGATGAAAATCTTGCTCGAAATTTAACATTACGAGTCAATGACAAGTGCCTGAAATATTGAAATGGCGATAAAATATCTAAATTGTAAAAGTTTCGGCCTGTCTTGAAACGGCCATGTCCTGAGCTTGGTTGAAATTCCTTCACGCATTTAAAAGTAATCGCGAAAAATTAGGGTCTCAAGGGGTCTGGCGTTAACAGTAGGTAATCAGACCAGACGGACAGACGGTCCACCAGAGGACCCCACATGTGGACGGCCAGGGGTGTGGCTCACCGACTGGAAGCCTAAAGGGGCACCTATACTTCCTAGAGCAGACACTGAGCAGCTGAGAATACCGGAACACCGTGACTTTTAAACTCGACGAACTTGGTATTCCTATTTAATGTGAATGCATAAGACAGAGCAACAAAGAAGCTCCTGTCAACAGTACAGGACCATACTGTCCAACATAACTACTATGCATTTCAGACCCCATGAGACCCTGTTTTTTGGCGATAATTTATTTGATATTTGTCCAATTTGCTTCAAATTGTCACAGTGCACATTTCAGCTCAAGCGCCCATTTTCGTCAATATGGTCTCTTAACAAAATTTTTAATTTAAGGGTACTTGTCGTTGCATCGTAATGTTAAAATCGGCTCCGTAAATCCGTCAGTGGAGTAGAGGCTATCCGTGCGTACGCGTGACGTCAAAAACACGTGACCATTAAGCTCCGCCCTCCCGGCGGACGGGGCGGTGACCTTGGCCGGTCAGTCGGCTGCGTGGAGCGGGCGGCGGTGGCTGCCGCACCGGGGCGGCTCGCATGGAGCGTAGCTGCCGTGCAGTTGTCGTTGCAGCCGTAACTTCATCGAATGAGCAAAAAAAGCGCGCATAAGTAACGCACTAGCTGAAGCCCTTGACTTTGTACTTATCACAAGTGTAGGTACACCCTGTTAAGTCACAAAAATATCTAATTCCACACAAGATTCGGGGCTTGTGAAAAACGCACATAAAAGGCGCTGTTGATTTCAAATGACTGCGTAAAATTATGTATCAGGTCAGACTACGTCCAAATTGCAAAAAAATGTGTTTCTTAATGACCGTTCTCGTATAGTGCTCAATCTCCACCTGCCACCTTCCTATTTCTTTTTGTGCACGACGCACGTCTAACAATATTACACACACAGCGATAAATGACAATTCTATCACACGACACATCACGCTTCTGCTCCACCCGGCGCCCCGCACCGCTTTACGAATCACGAATACGGTCGTCTCGCTGGAGTGATGCCCCAGGCAATCGGCCGCGCCCGCGACATTAGTCTTCATTCTACTTTGTTGCTTTCTGCGCCTTCCTCAGAAACATTTAGGTATTGAAGCTGCCAAACATATCAATATTTTTGGGTCATGTGGAGGCTTACGCATGATCTCATAGGTAATCGGGTATAGTGACATGACCCAACCTGACGATGAGATAGGTGCAACTCCGGCGTAAGTAATTGCCCAGGCCCCAGAGTCCAAACTCCAAGAGTTCATCTATCTTTTCTTTTACGGCCGGTTCGGTTCTTATTGATCCTACTTTGATTCTGAGGCCAGTTTTACCAACGGAAAAATAGCCGCCTGTCGGAAATTTTCGCCTTAAGACCGCTTTGCATACGGAGCGTAACGCGATGGGCACGTGAGCAGAAAAGACTTTGTCTTTTACGCTCCGTATCTGAAGCAGTCTACGCAAAAAAAAATTCCGGCAGGCGGCTATTTTGCTGTTGATTAAACTGGCCTCTGATCATTATGAATATTATGAGCTGGTTCGACGTTAAGATATCAAAATATGGAGAAGAGGACACCACTGCCCTCGAACGGATAATTTTTGGGCTTTCGTCCCGAAACAACTTTGCCAACTCCATTTGTCTCCAGTATGCGGCCCTACTGCGACCTCTCCGCGGTGCTGACGCCGACTGAAACGGCATAGACCCATCGCGGTCACGGCCAGTGGGCGGAGTCAAGTTGGGCCCGGCGTAACGTGATTGGCCAGCGCTCCTATCCAATCCGGTGCGGCAGCGAGCGAGCCTCTATCCGGGTGCAAAAACTGATTAACATTACGAGCCAACGACAAGTGCTCTAAATTTTGATATTTTGTTAAGAGACCATATTAGCAAAAATTGGCGCTTGAGCTGAAATACCGTATGGGGCGTTCCACGACAAATCGACAAATACAAAATTAAATTTGCACCCTCATATTTTATTTTTCGTTGAAAACTGGTGTAAGGGGTTGTGATGGGCGGGGAAGCCAGCTGTGGCAAGGATTTTTTTCTTCGAACAACGGTTTCCGAGATATAGCCTCGGGCAATTCCTGGATGTCGCGCTGCAGCCCTATGTTTGGCGGCCTATAACTCAAAAACTATTGGTTTTCTACGATAAAAA